GCGTAATGTTGTATAGAAGACATATGAGTTCATTTGCAGTTCTTTTGAGGTGATGAGATATCAAGCTTTGAGAGCTAAAACAAAAAAAATCAAGAAAACAATAGCATGCTATATAATATTTAGTTCATTGTAGCTTCAAAAAAATGGTCGAAAAGGTAAATTGTTTGTTTATTTTACTATGGAGCAGAAGAATTCAAAGGGGGATTTAATAGTACAACCCATACAACAAATTTCCGAGAAAGCATTCCATCCTACATTAACAAAATTAGAGTTCGTATTCGGGAGGATAATGGAGGTCAGATGGAGAGGGAAAGAAAGGTGTGAGTTTGCCATAAGTTTACTACGAGGCAGGACTTGATCCTAGACTCATACTGTAGAAAGACATATGAAGAAGATATGGAGACTGTTTCTTTGATGATCACAATGATTGCATGAGGTGTATCAATTCTATGAGCAGCCAGAGTTTGATCGGTCAAGACAAATCTTTTACCATCAAATTCAAAAGGAAATATTTCATTTTTGGTGTAGTATAAACTTGACAAATAAGATTACTCTATTTAATTAGAAACATGATATGACGTGAGCTAATAACCATTTTTGCAGTTAAATAAACATTTACGTAATTTTGCAATTTCTAAACAAATATGTAACTAGCAAAATTTTCGAACAAGAATGTATTTATAAACAGATTTAAAGTGGAAATATTCAAGTAAATATTAATATAAAACTAATTCTAAAAAGAAATGTATACCATAACGCATAAAAAACGTGACAAAATTACTAACAAAAAAATCAAAATTGAACAAACAATGATTTTTCATTTTTTGGAACAAACAATGATTTAAGATTTTCTTTAAACCATAAAAAAATATACATACTTTATATTATATAAAAGCTAAATATATACTATTATGATCAAAGTTTATAAACTAATAACATGATGTGTACGTTAAATGTATTGAAAAATAAATTATATGTTGTTTTTTGTATTTTAAGTTCTAACATAACGAATTGAAGTTGTTTTAAATAAACATTCATATGGTGTTACATACAAATACTATTGACATCTAATTTTAAGAATTTCATTATACATATTTTAAAATATATTTCTGTTTAGAAAATGACTAACACGTCACAATAGTTCACAATTAACATTAACATTTTACAATATATATATATATATATATTATAATGATTTGAATATCTTCAAGTAAGTTTTGGACATTAGACATACACAAACATTTTTGTTATCGGGATATGATTTAAACAATATTTTTGTATGTCAAGATTTGATCTCAATACAATATTGATATATCTAAAAAAAATTGTTTTCCAGAGAATTTTGGTATTGAAATATTATTAAATTTTAAATATTGATTTCTGCAGTTTAAAAAACATATTCTTTGGAAACATATTTCAAACCGATTTAAGATACAGACCCGCGCGTGTGCGGGTGAAAGTCCTAGTAATCTTAAAAGTTATATATATGTGAGTTAATGTTGGAAGTGAGTAAAAACAAAATAGTAAAAATAAAATAAAATAAAACATGGTCCATACACATGTTCATTTTCTTATATGACATTACACAACAAAACCATCAAATAACAAAAGAACATCCCAAATTTCGCAAGTCAGTCTTGCTCAGACCCGGTTTTTAGCATGTGTGACATGGGATATGTCAGAGGGTCCAGTCAAAATTTATAACATTTTCTTCAGTTTTTATGGCCCAATATAGTTTAAATATTTGTAAATCAGGGACTATTTTGTTTGAAAATTGTAAAAAGGGCCTAAATATGTTTTAAAAATTGTAAAATAGGGCCTAATTGTTTTGTAATGTTCATGTAGATGAAATTTGTTTTGGGCTGGACACAGGGCCCCACAGTCTATCGAACCGGGTCTGGTCTTGCTGATGTTCATGTGTCTTTTTTAGGGAAAACGGCCAAATCATACCCAAACATTAATCATATGTTCAATTTATACCTCAAGTATATCACCCTGCCAATTCATACCGTAACTACTAAAAAATTAAATTTCATACATAAACTTTAATATTTACGCAAAATCATACATTCACCCTCACCGTTTAAAAAGTCCGTCAATGGCTGATGATATGGATGCCATGTAATAAACGACTACGTTTTGGTTACTAGAAGAAAATAAATTAGAGCAAGAAACGATGTCGTTTTGACATTTCTCAACTCTATTCTCTCTTCTCTCTTCTCTGATTCTCGATGAGCGACGGAACACAAGTATTAAAAAAACTTCTCCACTTTCATGACATTGAAAAAGAAGAGAAAAATTATTTCTAGTAAATGAAATTAAGATTGTGTTGAAGTCGTTGTCAAACTGTGAGAGTGTTTCAACCAAATGATTTTGCCTAAATATTAAAGTTTATGTATGAAATTTAATTGTTTAGTTGTTAGGGTATGAATTGGCAGGGTGGTAAACTTGAGGTATAAATTAACATATTATTAATGTTTGGGTATGATTTAGCCGTTTTCCCGTATTTTTTACATCTATAATGTAGAGTATTGGGTTGATTTATCGGGTAAAAGCCTTACAACATATATATCTCCTCCAAAACGAGGCCAAACCCATTTGGAAATCAGACCCTCCAGCGTCACTCAAATTTGCGTGTAAAAATTAACATATCTTGAACATGCGTAAATAAGTTTGTGTCTTATCTCATATAAAATAATTTAAGTTTCTAGTGTGGTGATTTGAAGTTTGTTATAGCCAATGTCGCTTAGATATTATTACTAAAACCAAACCTGAATCTTTTATATATGAAATTTTTTAAGAAATACATCTTATGAGGTGGTAATTTTCAAAATTACATCTCTGTAGTTTTAATTTTCAAAATTACACTTTTTCTAAATTTAACATCGATAGTTGGATTCATTAATCCCTAATTAGTGTTTAGACTTTGGGGTTTGTGGAAGCCCCTTAGCCTAGTGGTCAAAGGGATTTAATGCTTCTACACCAAGAGGTCTGGGTTTCGAATCCCAGCAGATGAGGTCTACAGAATGGTGCACGTGGAGCCGTCGGCCGGGGAGCCTTTGAAGATGGTAAAAGCGTCCGTTGTAGAATTGTCTTGTAACAGTTCTCATATTTGTATATTAGATTAGTCAATCCAGTGTTAAAAAAAAAGACTTTGGGGTTTAGGATTTAGATTTAAGGGTTTAAGGTTAGATTTTAGGGTTTAGAGTTGAGATTTATTTTACTCCATAAAAAATGTAAATTTGAAAATACACCATATAGGTGTAGTTTTTAAAATGTGCACCCAAAAAAATGTAATTTTGAAATTTCCCATTTAAATTATTATTTTGGTGTATTTGTGTGAATACTGTTTTCCGGTTTAAATCAGTTGCTGCGAGCAATAGCTAGAATTAGAAACCTCATTCACACTTGATCCTTTGAGTATGTAAGTTTGCATGTACAAGTTAATGGGATAAGAAAAAAAAGGTTAACTAGGAATAAATTCTTGGAACAATTTGAGCCATGATCGGTTCTAGGGGTGGGCGAGTGGTGCGTGGATCGTGAACCTAATATCATATTTCATTTTTTTCTAAAGAAAAAAGACCCAAATTTTTTTCTTTTAAAATAACCTATATTAAAAGGACCCAAAATTTTTGGAGTGTCTAATGCTCTTTCAAAACCTGAGACGGGCCTGATTCTAACCTTAACATATCAAAATTAACTAGTTAAAGAAACCTCCACCCCCACAACAACAGAGGCGAGGACCAATATGCAACATTGAACGACCATCAAGCACCAGCAGGTAAGAAAAAATGATATAAGATATGCCTACACTCGAAGATATTCCCTTAGAAGCTCCTGACTCTGATAAACAAGAAGGAAAACTCCAAAACCACTAAGATAGAGACCCAGGCACAATAGGATATAGAGATAGAGAAGAGGATGATACAAGACAAGGAGACAAATCTATCTAGCTCATTGCACCAAAATTGTTGGAAGCGTCAATCTCGATTGCTATATTCATTGAAAAGGAAGAATTGAAGTACATGTTTGAGTGCAAACATCAATGAATGTAGAAATGTTTTGAAACAGGGTAAAAAATTATGTAAAGGGGATTAAGCATAATTTACCATTTTTGGGGGTTAATTAAGCATCATCTACCACTTTTTCTAGTGATTATTTAGGTATTTCAGCTACATTTCACGTTTTTATAGAATTTATACCATGTTAACTGGCCCTAATCCCATTAAGAGGATTCATTATTGGCTACCATTACTCTGATTCTAGAAGGATAAACCATAGCCGCGCTCCAGACTCTTATATAATGCCTTCTTGAGACCAGAGACGACACACACCAACATACAACGCTACAAAGAGCAGCTCTAGAGACGAATAACATCTTTAAAACTCAATTAAACAAAAAATTATAAATGATATTTGTTAGAGGTGAAATTAGCATGTTTCTCTGAGCCCGTTACCATTAGTAATAACATAGAGGCCCAATTCGACTTTAGTCCTAACCTCCTCAACAAAATGGCAAGATTTAAAGAGAAATGCACAATCCATGAGAAAATGTAAATAAAGACTCATGTCGACTCGAAGAATAGAAGGAAATCAAGAACAAGAGGAAGATTTCCAAATCCCAAAGAGGAAGTTTTCCAATTCACTGAAAAGGAAGATATTCACCAAGAAGCCGACCTATCGTCACTATATAAGGAAGACCCCCCATTTCTGGAGAGAGATCCGAAAATCAACTGAAGAGCTCTAGGAAATAGCAATCTTTTCAGTTATCTCTTGTTCTTTACTCATCGTCTCGTCAAGCTTGTTGACAAGACCAATTTCCTTTGTACTCTTCTTGATTACCTTCGAGTTAATAAAGCCTCCCAGTTCCCTAAACTCAATCTTGAATCCTCGCTCTTAAGTGTGCTATTCACGATCTCACAATTGGCGCCCACCGTGGGGCTGAGAACGCTTCTCGCTTTTTAGCTCGAAGATATCTCGATTTCTACACAACAGCAACGATGGTGAACCCGAGGGATAACACCACCAGTCCTTCCCTCGAGGGAATAAACCCTGGTGACGAGTACGAACCAGCAACGGTGGACAAGCCATTGCACACCGAAGACAGAGACCGATCTGTCCCACCAAAGAGTCGATCCGCCTCACCAAAGGGCCGATCTACTTCACCGAGTAAGAGCGAGAGCCCGCCTCCTCCTCCTACAAGAAGCCGTCGTACGAAGAAATCATCTTCAAACGCCAAGTTTCTCCGACGCCGTGAGGACGGTCGTGAGACCATAAGCCGAGAGCTTCGACTCAATGCAAGACAAGCAGAAGAAGACCCAGGAGCAGCTCGACGCCGTGATCCGAGAAGACGACGAGGAACCGTTGGATCTCGCTGCCGCGATGACTAACGGAACCATAATTCGTCTCGCACGAGTTGCACGAGTTGGCAGACGAGCAGCTTTAGAGCTCGAACAAATGAACCGTCGTCTTGATGAGTTTGACTCTAAAGTTCATCGCGTCACCAACTCAGCCCCATAGTTGACAAAAGCACTTGCCGATACCCAGAAGAGCCCGCTCACCCGCAAGATCCGCCAGATCTGCCTGCACGCCAGAATTCGACTCAAGATCGATTCCTACACCGTTGAAGAAGATCCCAAAAAGTGGTTGACAACGTTCAGCCTCGCCATGACAAGGCAGAAGTACAACTCTTTTGACAAGAAGGAGGCCAACTACTGCCAAGTGTTCATCGAGCACATGACGAAGGAGGCCTTAGTTTTGTTCTCCAACTTACATTCTGAGTCGATCGACAACTTTGACGACTTGACCAACGCCTTCTTGAAACACTACTCCATGCACATGACCCGAGTCACTCGGAACATGTTTACCATGAAGCATAAACTCAAGGAGAATCCCTACATATGTTCATGGAAAAGTTCAAGCAAGCAGATCGCGACGTCGGTGACATACCGGATAACGTCCCGCTAGAGGCGCTCCGTAACGGCCTCTGGTACGATACCAAGTTCAAGGAAGACTTATCGCTGAGACCTCCCGCGACTTTGGAGGACACATTCCATCGATCCCAGAGCAACATCTTCTTCGAGGAGGATAAACGCTTCTATGCCGAAAAGCACGGCGATAGAAGGACGCTCCCGTCGAGACCTAATGAGGACGCAACGCATTCTGCCGCTTTCATGGGAGGAACAGCCACTCAACTGAAAACTGTAAGCATCTCATCTATAACCTTATGTGCATGTACTATCTGGGAGAAATCCCACCGATGGAAGGTAATCGATCTTGGGGGAAAGGTTTCGCTTCGAGACCAACCAAGCCGGGACAACAAGAAAAGCGGCCGCGACCGTTCCATCCTAAGAAAGACAAAGGGAAACCTGATGCGCCACCAGAAGAACCGTGACGACCTGCCACCGCCGCCGAAGCGACAAGTCAGCATGATCATGGGAGGCCTCCTAGACAGCAACGACTCCATATCGGCGATCAAGGAATATGAGCGGAAGGCCGTCGTGGCGCAACGCTAAGGATGCGGGTGGGCTGGAAACCCCTCATCTCAACCCACTCCTGGTAAATTTGCAAATTCACGACTGTGATGTGGCAAAGATTCTGGTCGACACCGGAAGCACGGTAAACCTGATCTTCAAAGAGACATTGGACCGCATGGGAGTCGAAGAGAATTCCATCAAGCCCGCGTCTTGCTCTCTCACCTGCTTCACTGCCGAGCACGTCTTCCACTGCGGGATCTCAAAGATCGTGAAGTTCATCGTCATGGACAAGCCAGGTATCTACAATGCAATCTTCGGCACACCCTGGCTCCATAACATGAAGGCTGTCATCTCCACATTCCACCAATGCGTGAAGTTTCCAACACCATCAGGAATTTTCACCTTACGCGGAAACGAGAGAGTGACGAGGTAATGCTTCCTCTACGAACGGAAACTCCATACCGCATCGTCCTTCATGGTGGTTGAGGTTCCAAGCCCACCATCACCTCCCCGCGAGGAGCCCGAGCCAATCTCTAATGACGAGACCAACATACCCAATCCGAAAAGGTGTGCCGACATCACGCACGAGACAAACCCACTGGTCACCCCATGCAGAACCAACGCCGAGCCCACTTGGAAATCTGACCTAAGGCTTAGCACAAGCATCAGACAGACCAGACAACTCTACAACTTGTTCGAGCTTAAACAACTCGAAGACGAACCGCTGCAAAGCTTCCTCGACAGGTTCAAGGAGGCACTACTCGACCTCGACGAGACCTCGGAAGAAGTGCTCCTTCAAGCCTTCCAGAACGGACTCTCGTATCGATCCAGATTTCGAGACGACCTCTACCTCCGCCCCTAATGATCAAGGTAATGATAAGGATGCTTAATGTGCGTTAAAAAAGGCGTTTCCATAGACCCCTAATGAATATAAAGTTTAGCAACCTCTGAATTTGCAAAAAAAAAAAATTGTGTAGTGGTTGAGTGTGTGATTTCTAGAGCCATCAGGCAGGTTCGAATTTTGAAGGATTTGATTTTCCTTCTTCTTTTTTTTTTGTTTTATTTTGGTTTTATTTTCTTGTGATGTTAGGCTTTCTAATAAAATGTAAAACAAATATATCTAACAGAAGTTACACACGCAATTTAAAATTCTAATTTAAAAGGAAACTGAATCTTTCTTTTTTACATCCATGGAATTTGACTGTGGATATATATATTACTAATGATAAAGGTTCACTATAAGGTTATAGAATGATAGTTGTTCAAAAAAAAAAAAAGGTAATACAATAAAGAAGAAATAGAGCATCGAATCCTAGGAAGGATATCTATATGCTCACAACGGGAAGGAATATCTACATGCTCGCAACTCTTCTCTTCAAATACGATATTGAAGCCATGACGGTCCTCCTAGCACCAGGTAGGAACGAAAGCGTCTCCTCTTTGTGATTTCACGTGCAATGAGATTGGCACCAGCCAATTCAAGTTCAGAAGAACATATCCTAAACTCAAAACGAAGCCGAAGAATATGTTCTGTGAAGGAACAATAATTTGTAAGATTAAAATTCTATGTGACCAGGCTACAAAATTAGAACAAAAGTTAGCATTCCATAAAGACAGGTACGTTATGGATTCCTATCATATAAAACAACGCACCAAAAAGGGTTCATAATCAAGAGATTAACCATCCCATTAAGCAAATTAAAAAAAAAAAATATTTAAGTTACTAGAGAATATACCCCCGCGCAAGCGCGGGATTATTTTTCGGTTAATCATCATTTATATATTTCTAATAATATGATTCTATTGTTTTTTCTTTGTTATTCTGTATAATACTGAAGATTTGTAATAGATGCTCCCGTTATGTTTATTTTAAATGATCTTCTAATTTTTCCAAAGATTTGGCAACTGTTTCTAAGATTTGTTAGTACTTGCATGAATAGTTATTATATTTTTACTACCAAAAACGGTTGTTTGATGAACTTAAAACTTCCACTAGTCACCATCAACCTTCTGATTTTTCTAAACTCTTCAAAGTTCTTATTAACATCATCCTGAGCCATGTTCGCCTCTTAACTACACTCAACCACCGCCTCAGTCACCTTTTGAGTCGTGCTCTTTGCCATTTTCTGTCTGACATTTTCAATAAAAACTATTTGAATTACATTTTCATTTGCCGGCCGAACTGTTTTTCGTGCTGTTAACTTGATCTGATATGAATCTTTTTATTTCTATTATAAACCTTTTCAATTTTTTTATATACAGTTACAAATAAACTTATAAATTTTTATATCCTTATTACTTTGTAATTCTTAGAAAATCTATTTTGTTTCATATTATTTTTTTATATACAGTTACGAATAAACTTATAATTTTTTTCTTATTTATAGTTATATTTATATATTTTTAGTTATCAAGTTATGTAAAAAATTTTTCGTAACTTTTATAAATCATCTAATATCTATTAATTTTCCTAATTAATATTTTTAATATTTTATTATGTGAAATTTTTTTAGGCTTTTGTAAATAATATATTTTATTTTAAGGAAATATAATAACAGGTAACTGTGTAAATTAATTGATTGTCATTTAGTATTTTTTCTCTTTTGTTTTATAAGTTTTGTTAAATGTGGGATTCATTATCTTTATAAAATTAGGCTGATGTGGATAGACTAAATAGAAAGAACACTCCCTAATTATTATTATTAATTTTTTTTTGTCAACCACTCACTGATTATATATAAGATAAAAAAGTGAATATTTTTTATGCGAGGACAGCGTTAATGGATTTTATGTCTTTTCAGGTGTTTAATTATATAACTGTTATTAAAATTTCGTATACAGATTACAGATTATATATCCTGAAAAATGCAAGTAAAATAACTTGTGGTTGACCCTCTTTCTAATTTGATTCACTACATTTACCACTACCTAAATATAAAATATATAATTGTTAATGGACTTGTAGACTGTTGAAACTGAAGTTACGCTCGTCGAAAATTGTAGTAAACCAAAGAGAAAGAGTCGCACAAAAAAATAAAATAAAATAAAAAAACAAAAAAAAAAAAAAGAAAGAAAAGAGGCGTTAAAAAAAAGAGGGGACATGTGATGAGATATAGCGATGGGTCATCATGGGAATCTTGTATTCTTATGATAATTGCCAACCATGCTAATTTTGGGGCTTCTCTTCTTATTGCAGAAGTAGCCCCCATGTTCACGTGATCCCGTCTTCCCATCTTTGCCCTATATATTCATATACCGTTTCTTATCCTTCCTCCATCCACTCTTCTCAACATGAAGTCATCAAAACTCTCAGCTCTCTCTCTCTGTCTCTTCCTCATCTGCATTATCAATTCTCCCCAATATTCTTTCTCATGCGGCTCCTGCTCCCACCGGAAGGGCGGAAAACCCGCAATAAAACCCCCTGTCACCGTCCCTAAGCTTCCAGTTCCTCCGGTGACCGTACCTAAGCTTCCAGTTCCTCCGGTGACGGTACCTAAGCTACCAGTTCCTCCAGTGACCGTACCTAAGCTTCCAGTTCCTCCGGTGACCGTACCTAAGCTACCAGTTCCTCCGGTAACCGTACCTAAGCTTCCAGTTCCTCCAGTCACTGATCCTAAGCTACCAGTTCCTCCGGTGACCGTACCTAAGCTTCCAGTTCCTCCGGTGACTGATCCTAAGCTACCAGTTCCTCCAGTTACCGTGCCAAATCTACCCGTTCCTCCTGTGACCGTCCCAGAGCTACCACTTCCTCCAGTGGGCGGGCTACCGATACCGCCGGGGGTTGGGCCGACATTGCCACTGCCACCATTGCCAATTGTGGGTCCTCTTGTTCCACCGGGGACAAACCCACCTGTCGAAGGAGGGAAAGATTGTCCCCCACCCCCTGGAAGCGAGAAACCACCATCAGGTGGGAAGGCGACATGTCCAATAGACACGCTGAAGTTGGGGGCCTGCGTAGACTTGTTGGGAGGTTTAGTAAAGATAGAGCTTGGTGACCCAGCAGTTAACAAATGCTGTCCGTTACTTAAAGGCATTGTTGATGTTGAAGCGGCTGCTTGTCTCTGCACTACACTCAAGCTTAAAGCTCTTAACCTTAAGCTTTACGTTCCCGTTGCTCTTCAGCTTCTTCTTACCTGTGGCAAAAATCCACCTCCGGGCTACACTTGTTCCATCTGAAAAAATTATTCCAGTTAAAAGGTATGCTATTTTCTCTTTCTTTAAACGAGAGCTTGAATCATCTATATGAAACTTAGAAATAACTCAGACGTGAATTTGGAAAATGGTGTTATTATGGGTATAGGGAAGTAGAAAAAGTTATAACCCGATTGAGAATGTATATGGAATTGTCTACGCTTAGTCAGTGGGTATTTGCCTGAACATCAAGTCATGATCTTGGCATTGTCCACATCAAAAGTTGACCGTTTTAATTATATACTTTTATATACATGTTCAAATTATGTTTTTTGATATTTTCGGGTAGTGTAGCATCTTCAACCCATCATCAAATCTCTCTTTAAATTTTATTTTAGCGCAAATTCATCTCCAATCCATCCTTATTTTTAATATTAAAATGAGAAAATACTATTTTTCCCTCATTTATAGTGTAATCTTATTTTTTTCTCTTATTCTGATGTTGATATTTTTTATTTACATTTTGATCTTTCACATTTACTTTTATATTTATTTCTAGCTTAAATAAATTATAAAAACTATTTTAGAAACTACATGATTATTAATATTATACAAATTGACTAGAATTATATTTTATTCATTACAAAGTAAATAGTATATAACTCTAGAAAATTATATGAGAAATTTATTGAATTTATTTTTGTATTTTTAATGAAGTAATGTAAATACTTTATCTAATAATAGTTTAACTTAAATACTTATTTATGGAATTTTTTTATAAAAAATAAATAAGTGGGGCTAATTTGTAAAACTTACAAATAAAACACTTTTGCAATATATTTGGATTTTGAATATACCTAAAATGTTCAACTTTTAGTTACAAAAATAAAAGAATACATAAAAGAGAAACACAATATTTTAATAAAGAAACTTTAAAATAAAAGAGAATAAGGAAATACATTGGATTGTCTAAATATATAATATACAGTAGAAACTCTATAAATTGATACTCGATAAAATAATAAACACGATAAATTAATAAATTTCTCCGGTCCCAAGTTGGGCTAGTGTAAATTACGACACAATTCGATAAGATAATAAGATAATAACTTTTTTTAAACTCCTATGTAAAATATAGTCCCAATAATATCATAAATTAATAATTATCATATACAAATATATATAAGATATCTAAATACTAAAATATGAATCTCTCACACACCAAACATATATATGAAAATTAAAATAAAAAGGAAATTTAAACAATATGGCAAGTATGAAAAAATGTAAACAGTAAATTAAATATAAAATCATAAAAACGTTAAGAAAATATATGTATTAAGGAAAGTTCTTATTTAAGTTGAAGATTTTTTTTAGAAAATTATTAATACTGAATTTTCTTTTTTGGGAAAGATTGTTTAGTCGAAATCTATATATTAATAACTCTATAAATTAATAAAATATCAAAGTCCCGAGATTATTAATTTATAGAGTTTCTACTGTATACGTAAACTGTTGTTCTGTTGTTGTGAAAACAACAAAACAATACGTAGAAACTAATGGCTCGACGATATAAAAAAAATGATCATTTATACATATACACTATGATTCCACCACTAAAGTTTATTTCATTTTTTTCGTGTCATGCAGATAGTTTGGAGGAAAAAAAGCGAGAAGAAAATGGCAGAGGTCCAATATTTCCTTCTTGTTAGCAGTTATATCAAATCGCTACCATTAATTATTTTCTCTATCTCGATCTCCCTTCTTCTTGTATCATCAATTAAGTGTGCCTTTAAGATTAATTGTTGTTCCCTTGTATTAAAGTTTGATGATTTGAAATCTTTTGTTTTAGTTAATGAATGAATTGAATTGCGTGAAAATGATACTGTAAAAAAGAAAAGTGTTGTGAGAAAGAGAGAATGTAATTGTGTTATTCATAAGTAGAAGAGCCATAGGGTTTCAACGGAGAAGAGACAAATAGAGAAGTGGACCTAGTGGGCTAATGGGCATCCACATATTACCCATAACACTTCCCCTTGGATGTCCATTATCTAAAATATCTTCTAAATGCGTAAATTGATGCCTCGTTAAAACCTTTACTAGGAAAACCCAATGGAAAAAACTTTAGTTAAGGAAAAAGAGTGCAGATCGTCATTACTCCCCCTCATGAGAACATCCGTCTAAATCTTTGAGATGATTCCATCCAATATCACGAATTAGCTACTTGAAAACAGCATTGGATGTGCCTTGATGAAGAAGTCTGGAAAATCTTCTCTTGAACAATCTTCAGAACTTTGATATCGCCATTCTTCAGTAGTGCATGGAAGTAGTTGATGATTCATCTTGATCATTTCTTTGTTTCACTTGATATCATAAATGGATGACAAGGACTTTCAAAAGTAGATATACTTTCATCTTTAAACTTCTTTTAAATGTTTCTCATTTGTGTGTTCTTTGTTGCCTCATTAAAACCTTTCATGGAAAAACCCAATGGGATAAAAACCACGATAAGGAAAAAGAGTACAACCACACATATCATCTTATATCTCCCCCTTGGAAGCATCTTCTTCAAGAGATGCATTCCAATAATCAATACCAACTTTTGGGATTACTATGAGTATAACCTCAATTAATAAACTCATATGATTATTTATAATCTTCTAGGTCATTTAAACTTCAGTCTATGACTCATTTTTCATAAGTAATGATTTCTTGGTCTATTTGGACTTCAGGCCAAACTTTCCCTTTACACATACAATATTTTAAATATCTATTTTGTGCATATAAGTTATCCCATGCTCATTTGTTCTCATCTTTCAGTTATGAAAGAGATCAATACATTTATCAAATATAATTTAAAGTATACTTCAAGACTAAATGTGAGCATTTTTAATGCAAATCTTACAAGGATCTTTTGAGATCACATCTTTTTGTTAAATAGTGAATTTGGGATATCTTAAGACAACTTTGTCTTTCCAAAATCTTTTATCATATCTTTTTATCTAATTTCGACAATTCTTCAAATTTCGATAATGTTTAGATTAAGATCTCTTTTGATCCAACCTTAATATTTTTATAAATATACAGTAGATACTGATTATATATCACTTTTGTGATTGTACCCCACTGAGAGATATTTCTCTTCATTTGATCAAATAATTAGAGTTCTTCGGAAACCTAGTTTTGATATCATTAATCTTCAAGAATTATATCCTTCAGGGACTTTTATAAAAATGTCATTATTTAGTGGGTCTTATGATCAAGTTCTTCTTTCATTGCCACACTTAATGAACTTGAAAGTTGCATCCACCACATGCCTATTATAACCCACTTCTTTTACACTTTTTAAGGTGTAAGGACTTCTGGTCCAAATACATTTCTCTTTCTAAGAGATTTTAGTTTTGTGTCTATTGCTTCTTTTCGATTTGGCCAAATCATTACTTTGTGTACACATGCAATAGACTTTGTTTCATGATCCTCTTTCTCATTCATAACATCAACTGCTATAATGCATGCAAATATTTTATTTACGACGTCGATTTGCTTTTATGGTTCCATTTTATTCCATACATGACATAATTAATTCTCGAGATCTCTTCTTTGTCTCAGGTACCTGAATTTCTTTCTTGTCATGTTTAATATCTCTTCTTGAGATCATTTCAAAAACATTTGTTTCCTCGGTTTAACCATTATAATTTATGCTCATTTTACTTTACCGAGGTCACTAATATTTGGAACCAAGAAGTCTATCACACTTCATGCTCTTTAGACTTACTAGCAGTTTGATATTGTCCTTCTGAGAAATCAATTATTCTTAGAGCATTTACAGCTGGTAAGTGACTCAACACTATATTTGGGTCAGTAATTGTATCTGGCAATTGATACAGTAAGTTTTGTGAATGAATTATCTTTTAGACTTTTATTTCACATACTATCGTCTGAGGATCAATGATAATTCATTCTAACTTTAATCTTTCTCCAGCTGTTTTATTTTCTCCCCTTGATGTTGGAAAGACTGAATCACTAAAATGACAGTCTACAAATTGAGCTATATTTAAATCCTTCATGGATAGCTCTAGATATTATCATAGGAGAATAATATCCAACATACACTTATCATCCCTTTCGAGGGTCCATCTTATATTGTTGTGGTGGAGCATTATGAATGTATTATGCACATCATAGATCTTTAGATGGAAAACTTTGGTTTCTGACCTAAACCAATTACGATGGGAGAACCTTTAGTTATTTGTTGGCTTTATGCGAATTAATGTTTTTGCATTATGTTAATGATGAACATTTGCTACTGGATGTTCAACATTTATTCTTACAAACATGATTTTTCTCAAAAAAAACTTATGATGTGATTTCACTAGCACTACCAAGTAATCTCGCAAACTTCAGGTTGCAAATATGTAATATTGAGACATACATGATTATTTTATTTCGCATAATATCTTGAACTGAAATGGTCTAACCAGCTCATGCCAAACTATGATATATTTGGTAAACTTCTAGTTTACTACACATCATTTACATCTCCTATATAATCTTTGTCTATGATGAGGCTAGATAATGTATGTTATATTTTCAAATTAATTTTACACCATTGAGTTACATTATATATGATTATCTTAAGTGTGAACATAATCTTCTAGATGTTTCACTTTCTACTGATTGAGAGATTCATCCATTCTCCTCCTCGAGATGATGTCACTTCAGGTTCATCAATCTCGAATGGAATCCTAGGATAAAATCATTGATCTGCCCAATTTAAATCATGTTTTATATTTTTATTATATCTTGATTCTTTTCACTTCTGGGACTTCAAAGATATAATGCATCAATAATTGTTTACTATAAGCAAATATAGATTTATATACTCTTCTGGAGATATGTATCTTTTATTTGATGCCATATTTATTTTCTCACTTCTTGTGAGAATTTAAGTTCTTAAAGTAAAACTCTTTGGTTTTGATCTTAACATTAATCATAAGATATTCATGTCTATAACTATAACCATATCTTTAATCATTTATATCAGATTCACTTCAGGGAATAAATTAAAACCAATTAGACAAGATTCAAGATTTTTATCAGTAACTCATTATTTTATCAAAATAATTTTTAAACTTTCTTTAATAATATTTTGTCTGCTGGACAATATTATTTATCTAAAATGTATGCCTTTTATCATCATTGATATATATTATCTTCCAGATAAATAAAAATCATTTATAGACAAGATATTCATCATTATCTTGTAATCTTAGATGTAAATACAAGATATTCATGTAGAGGATAGTAGAAAAACTAAATAAATATTATCATATATATATATATATATAAACAAAGCATAATGAAAACAATATATATATAATAACATTACCGTTTTATTATCACTTCAAGTAACAGATTTTCATATTTTGTCAGCAAGACAATAATATTTTAAAATACTTTTCAATATTATAATATTTTTGTGTCTAGACAAAATTATTTCTCAAATTTATTAATAATATTGTGTCTACAAAACAACAATATTTGTATGATGTATTTTAACATCTTTGCATCAGTAGTATTATCTTCACTTAGAAACGTCTAGTTTATATGTTTCCAGATGCAATAATTATCTTTAGATTGCTCTATTAATTCATATCACTTCTTCAGGTGATTATTCATTTTTTTAAGTTGCTATATTAGATCATATCACTTATGGTGATCATGTCTTTCTTTTTACTTTATGATAAATTATTAGATTTTAAAATCATATATTGATAGATAAATATACTCATTAATCTATATATAATCTAGACATATCATATAAGCAATGATGCTATTTCTTAATCAATCAATCATGGATTAATTTAAATAGTAAATAATAATTTATTTGTAAAACCAAATCAAACCAATAATAAAAACAAATCAAGGAAATAATTACTTATTTATTTCTAACATTGAGAATATTATTATTTTACGTTTTCCAGATATAAAATGATATAATATATGGTTAGCAAATGAGATCAAATAATAAAACATGATAAGCAATATCAATGTCATGCGAAGATATGGTGCAAAAATCAAATAATATTATTTAACAAGACTATCAAGATTCATTTCAAAATATAATCAAGTGATTTAAAGACTAATCAGTCAACAAACATTAAAATTTATAACATTCAACACAAATAATTTTAGAGTGATTCTAGCACATACATTAATTATAATCAAAATTGTGATCAAATGGTCAAATTAGCAATTTAATATGGTCAAATATTGCAATAATATTTTAATTTAATGGTGAAATTAATTCAAACAATGAAAACTTCTTCTTTAGACAATTTTCAAATAATGATTCAATTTAGCAATCAAATTATTACGAAAAAATAACAAATATCATAAGAAAAGCAAATAAAATAAATAAGAACAATATATGTCAATGCAAATAAAATAATAAACAATATAAAATCCTTCTGGAATATAAATAAGTGATAAATCCTGCAGGGATATATATAAAATAAATAAAATATAAATCCTTCAGGGGTATAAATAAAAATAGAAACAAAATATAAATCCTTGAGGGATATAAATAAAATAAAAATCCTTCAGGAATATAAATAAATTATAAATCTTTCAAGGATATAAATAAAATATAAATCCTTCAGGGATATAAATAAAATAAATAAAATAGAAATCCTTCAGGGATAAAAATAAAATAATTAAAATAAATATAAATATGAATCCTTCAGGGATATAAATAAAATACAAATCCTTCAGGGATGTATATAATTGAAATATATAATTCCTTCAAGGAAAAATAATATATAGATCCTTCAGGGATATATATAATTTTTTTTATATAATATTAATCCTTCAGGAATATAATTTAACCAGACAACAAAAAGTATTCTAGCAATTGAATAAATATATTACGAAAATCAAATAAATATATATAAAGCATGTGTTTGCTGAATCTAAAATATTATCAATAAGTAATATAGATTAAGTATTGATAGAAATGGATTTTAGTAGAATAAACACAAATCAACAAAGTAATAGAGATTACTCATTGAATTTGTGAATTCAAACTATAAGAACTATTAGAACTTTCGTAATTACCTATAAAAAGCTAAGAGGTAGAACTTTCATGCTGATAACGTGTTGTGAGAAAGAGAGAATGTAATTGTGTTATTGTAGAAGAGCTCTTTATATAGAGTACAACATAGGGTTTCAAAGGAGAAGAGACAAATAGAGAAGTGGACCTAGTGGGCTAATGGGCATCCACATATTACCCATAACAAAAAGGATATAAATTATATTCTACCAAAATCCTTAAAAAAAAAACTAAAGAAAGAATTAAATTCAAAGAATTATATATACCACATAAAACAAAAATGTAACATTCCAATTTGTGTTTGGGATAGGCTTAAAAGAATTGACTGGACTCCTTATATCAACAAAATACATTTATCGTTTTGGTCAAAGGCGAATAAGTAACTTTAAAGTAAAGCATGCTTAGGATGGAGTAGTTGAATGATGAGTGACCTTCTGGGAAGTGATTTACAAAACTGTGTGAAAGAGGCCAAAACACGAGGAAAGATTGGGTGGTGATTGCAGATATAATAAACAAGTCTCTAAAAATTAATGAATTGGCCGTCGGAGCCCACTAGCCAGAGAGGGCGCGTGTGTGACTCACGAAAGGATAGTCAGGATGTTATAAGTTGGTATCAGAGCCTAGTAAATGCCACTCTGGTTCAGATCAGTTCATTAAAAAAAGTAAAACAATAAATATTCTAAAAATGTTTTTAAAAAAAGTTTAAGAGCGGAGTAAAAATAAAATGTTTTAAGGATTTCAAATCACCACCGTAATTTCAACCTATTCTGTTCCGTTTAAGAGTATGAATTCTTCCAATCTGTTGTGTTGGTTGGCGTGTAGAAGTTGAAATTTCAGAAGATTTTCAAAGAAGAGTGCCTATGGTGTTATAAGTTGGCGTTTCTAACTTTCTTATGTTGTTTGATAGTGTGGGAAAACACTGTCTTGGAAACTGAATGAGCTAAAAGACTGGTAGAGAGGTTTGGTACTGAATGAGCTAAAAGACTGTCTTGAAAACACTTGGATGGGTAAGAATCAATGCTCTGTGATCGAAACTTCCTTGACAAAGACCACACGTTTTAAATACTGCAAGGAGTTAACAATGGAGAATTTGGAATACTGGATGAGATATGTTGGGTCCGGTGTGGTTTGCTACATTCAAGGTCAATACGGGAAAGCTTGATTCAAAGTTAGCTATGTCCCAATTGAAAGCAGAACAATGGGAGATACAAATTCCAAAAGATAAGTGAGTTTATGTGTTTTCAAAACCTCTTCACTAGTTTAGATTCATTTTTTCTTGGGGACAAGCAAAGATAAGTTTTGGGGAGTTGATATACCTCTATTTTACATGATTTTTATATGGTTTTTACATACTTTCTATATGGTTTTCCACTGGATTCTTGTCTTAAAATGTAGGTTTAATGGAGTTATAGTGCAAAGAGTCATTTTAGGTTAAAAGGTGCATTATGGAGCAAAACACACAAAAAGGGCTTCAAACGAATTCCATACCGCAGCATCAACTTTGGGAAGAGCTTAAAAACATTCTACTCAATGGATTTCATTAAGACCACTTTTCCGCGCTGCCAACGTGAGTCAGCTTTCTGATGCAATTGGATTTTGCACAATTTGGATGAGTAGAAATAGAGGTATGATCGTTTTAGTGAAGACTGGTCCGGACAGCCGGAATCGTGTACGAGCTGTCCCACCACTCAACCGAGCGGACTGGCCGACCCGTGATCCATCGTCCCGCGGTCATACCACGTCCCGCACTTCACCAATATCTTCCCACGCATGGACTGGCCGACCCGGGAGGCATCATCCCACAATCTACCGTCCCGCATCCCACGATCCGCATATCCGCACGACCGCACCGTCCGAGCAGGAACCCATCATCCCATGATCGACCCGACCGTACTGAAGGCCGACGACCGCCCAGCTAATCCCAACGACAACAACCAAACTTAACCACCCAGCCAATCCGGACGACCGAACGCACAACCACCCGGCCACGATCATTCTGACCGTACCTAAGGCCGAACACGACCTGAATCTCGGCCGAAAGTCCCGACTGACCGTCCGAACGGCCTTGTTGACCCGAAGCCGTTTTTGAAGCATGTTTTACATAATTAATTTGAAGCCCAAATCTTTGACCGACTTTCAAGACCTAGGTCTAGCCGCTCTTCAAGACTTAGAGAATTATAAATTCATATTTTTAGCCTTGTAATTTGATATACATCTATTTTACATGCTTTTTATGCTATTTTAGTATGGTTTTTTAATGGTTTTTAGCAGGTTTTCTATCTAAAAAAGTAGTTTTATTGGATTTATTGTACTAAGAGTCTAAATAGGTGAAATGATGTATTTTGGAACAAAACCGCAGGATTTGCACTTCAACCCGCTCCATACCGAAGTATCAACTTTGAGAAAGCCTGAAAAAATAATCTACTCAATGGATTTCATCAAAACCACTTCGCCGCGTGTCATGAGTGAGTTAACTCTCCAACGCAAGTGGATTGGCATCATTTGGATGAGTAGAAACAAAGTTATGATCAATTTAGTGAAGACTGGTCCAGACGGCTAAACCAAGCAACCGCGTTCCAACCGCGTTCCAACTGCGCGTACCGGCCGACCGATGAACTATCATCCCATGATCGACCCGCGCCCGAACTTCATCTATCCCGCCTAGTGCACGACCGAGCTCATGTACCAACCCGGAAGGCAACAACCCACAGCCGTCCCGTCCAAGTTTCGCCACCATAAGCCGCACACGACAGCATTGCACGAACAGGAAGGCATCGCTCTACGACCGCGCAACACAACCCGTGCCGCACGCACGAGCGTACCGTCCGACCAGGAAGGCCTCTTCTCTCGTCCGGCAAGAACATTCAAACCTTTATCATCCGTCCGGCCAAACCCGACGACAGAACGAGAAATCTCTCGGCCACGATCGACCTGATCGTGCTGATGGCCGATCATCACCCGATAGCCGGCTGAACGTCCCGACCGACCGTCCGGTCGACCCGAAGCCCATTTTGAAGCCCGTTTCACACGTTTTCACGGCCTGACTTAACCTAATGCTGCCTCTGAAGACCTAGTACTATAAATACAACTTTTTAGCCTCTTGAGAAAGAGAGCCGCATATTGTATCACGTTTTTACACTTAGAGTTTTGTTCTAGAGATTTCAAGGAGAAGATTTCTCCTCCTCACTTCAATTTGGAGAAGTTTTCTAAACCTTTATCTATCTATGATGTTTTCTTCAACTCTTTGCGTTATTGCTTTGATCATGTCTGAGTAATCCACTAGTTAGGTTGCTAGAGTTACTAATCAATGAGTGTGTGAACCGAAATCCGCACAATAGATTTAATGGATGTGTTTAAGAGAGGGCCTAGAAATTCTGAGTATAACACAAACGAAGATCCAAAGATGGTTGTTTTATTGATGTAAAGTGTAAAGCGTTGTGGGATGTGTAGCGGGGAAAAAGTGATGATCCAACTCATTTGGTTCGATCTTTATTTATACAAGGTGTGAAACCAACTTTCCGAGATTCTCAAAGATATTCTCAAGATTTGCTGTTATCTCTTGCGGCGCCGCTAGTTCAATGCTTGCTTACTCTTAGGGCGAACCGCAGGGCTTCGTTTATGGGCTTCGGCTCGAATCGTCTTGATGTGATGTTGGTTCGGCCCACAAATATCTGTAGTTCGGCCCATACTCTCTATCGTGGCATTTTCAGCTCGTCTTCTCGCATCAAGTGCGGCTTTCGTCGCGCCGTGTTCTTGGTGCGAGCTCTAGCTTTCTGTGAACTAGCTCGTCATCACTTGTGCACGATCCCTTCTAGCTCGTCATATCCGCAGCTCGTCGCGGATCTTTCCTCAGCTCGCGACGCCGTGGTTCGCACAGTATGCTGGTTTGTTCGCACCTCGGTAACATTCTGCAATGTTAATTGTTGAGCTCGGCGGGGAGTATTCCGACCCCAACAGTTAGCCCCCAGCTCATTAGTCTTAAGGTTAAGAATGATGAGCTGAAGAGTAAGCTGTCGAGATCAACAGACGAAAGTTTTTAATTTTACTTTGCCCCATCTCCGTTCAACGCGACCTACGTCATCTCGAAATGACTTGGATAAATTGGCGTATCGCGAGCTGTGGCTCGCAGTCAATATTTGCCGCAATCTGTGGCGTTCCGGGAGTAGGGTGTCTTGTGACCTGCTCTGACGCAAGCCCGTCTTTTGCGATGCCATGGTTCGTCGTTTCCAATCTTGTTTGCGACGTGATGAACTCAGGTCGTGGCTCGTTGTGACGAGCTCTGCTTTCAGCTTGTGTTCGCGTTGCTCAAATCCCGTATGCATCTTCCCTGCGAACCGTGGAGCTTCTTTTTTCGAAGCAAGCTGTAACTTGTCTCCTACGCTCGAGCTGTTGCTAGCTTCAGTTCCAGTTCTCGTTGGGACTCTAGGTCTTTAGGTCACATTTTGATTTCACGGGCGAGCTTTCGAATCTCGAGCTATTGCGGCTCTTCAGATCCAGTATCTTCTTCCGAGCGAGTTGTGGGTGCTTCTTGGAGCGAGCTGCAGGTTTTTCTTGGAGCGAGCTCATGAGTTTGTCGGACTGCACGAGCTGTGGGATTGTGTTGCGGATCGTGTTGTGTCGTGACTTGAACCGCGAGCTGCTGCGTCCAGAGCTTCTGTTCGGAATTATTTCACGTTGCGCGAACTGAAGAGAGAAGTTGTAGCGAGCACCAGCTGTTGTGGTGAGAAGGAGATCCAACGTATCGCTTCGCTGTATTTTGCGACGAGCTTCCATCGACTCTGGCTCCGCGGCGATCCCTGTTGGCTGTGTGGAGAACTGTCGAGTCCGCATTTTTTTGACATCAGTGCGACTTGGTGAAGAGCTTGTCATGTGTGAAAACAGGCTAATCGGTTCTATTGGTCGCCATCTTCGTCGGCATGCTACAACGCGAATGGCATGACGATTCCAGTACAGGAGGAGAGAGGCATGATGTGAGCTTCTCCTGCATTCGAGCTTAATGAGGTGAAGTGCGATGAGTGCAAGCTTAATGAGATGAAATCCCAGGAGTGCGAGCTGTAATTCGGTCGTGAGGTTGAGCGGTCAGCGCTTGTAGGCACTGTTCGGAATTGTTGCCGGCCTAATCGAAGTGCTGTCAGGGTGAGTGTTATGTAAACAAGCTAAACACGGAGCTTAGCGTGCCGAACTGGATTGCTACATAGCCAACTCAATGAAAGCGGCTTGTCGTCAAGTCTAGTAGAATGTTTGCAAATTGAGTGTCCTTGATGATGAACTGAATGTTCGAAGAGTTCAACGTGAGCCAGAAGGCGTAACAAAAATGAGTTGTTATTTGCTTTACTTCGGTTTTCCCGCAAACTCGCACTCAGCTATCTTTGTGGGTTGAAGTAAATTTGAGTCAAGATATGTAGAAGACCAGTGATACCAAGCGGCGTTTGTGTTGTAGCTGGGTTTAAGATGTCTTGTTTCAGTTTTTGCCGCAGTCTTATATATTAGTAAGTTACGGATCGAAACGATGACTTACGATCGAATTTGTATAGCGCGCGCTTATAAACCATTGAGGTTTGCAATAGTGAGAATTCATGGAGGATTGTAGTAGTTCGTTTGTTGTGGCCAGCAACAAAAGAGAAGTGAGTAGGGTTGAAGTTAGTCAGAGTTGACTTGAAAGTGTGAAAACAGTTTTGGAAAGATTGAGATTAGCGGCGAGCCGCGTTACAAAGAAAAAGACAAAAATGACTAGGCGGTAAGTCGTGTCATGTAATGTGAGAGTACACGAATGTACGTACTCCACTCCCTCCTTTTTTTTTTTGGAGGCAACTGAATCCATCAAAGATGAACTGCCTACATACCCCTCGCGGGGATCAAGTCACGCGTAGTTCTTGTAAGAAGATGATCAGGTCGGCGTGATAAGATCAGCCTTGGAAATGCGAGATGAGCTCGGCTTTCGTCATAATGGTGTGAGCATGTGCTCGACTTTTAAGATTTTTAAATGCGAGACTTGGCTCGGCTTTTAAGATTTTAGATGCGAGACTTGGCTCGGCTTAGAGTTGTTGTAAATGCGAGACTACGCTCGGTTAATGTGAATTGTCAGTTTGGTATAGTTACCTGGATGTGTTTTGATGGTTGGTAAGATCGAGACCCAGCTTAATGTGATCCTTGGGTCATTCGACTCGCCGGCTCGATCACTTTGTTCGTCCGCACACCATGTCGAATTTTGAACGCCTCGCCGCTTGGCTCGTCGTGATGATTTAAGCTTGTCAGGATGTTTTTGAGTCGTCCTTATGATTGTGGCTCGTCGCTTTGATTTTGGATTGCTGCCTTGATCTTGGTCCATTGTGATGATTGTGATTCGCCACAATGGTTTGGCTTGTCGCCGCTTGGCTCATCGTCGCCGCTTGGCTCATCGTCTCTTCACTTGTGGTCATTTGGCACATCACCATTGTGAATCGTATATATCAATTGTGCTTCCTTGTAAAGCTGGTTTGTTTCATCATTATGCCGTCTTGCGTCTACCACGTGTCGAGATTGTCACGGCTTGCCGTAGTCCGTCTTTAGCTTATCGCAGCGGCGTTAGTCTTCGTCTGCAGCTCATCGTACTTTGCTTACAGTTTGTATCAGCGGCATCGTATTTGCGTTGCGGCTCGATTCAGTTCACCTACAACTCATCGCAACAGCGTCATTGTCTGTTAGAGTTCGCCCACAGTTCGTCACAGTGGCGCCGCACCTTATCTTACTTCGTCTGCAACTCGTCATAACGCCAATACGAGTCTGTTTGGTTCGTCGACAGGTCTGTTTGGTTTGTCAGCAAGCGTGTCCGGATCGTCGCCGAGCCTGTTAGAGATGTTAAGTTTGTGAGGTATGCCAGATTTCCGTGGTACGGCAGATTCTTCATGGACACCGGGTCATCAGGGAAGCCAGGATACTTGTCATAATTGCAGGTTCGTCAGGTTTGATGGTGTTGGTATGTTTGAGCTCGTCGTCGTGTCTGTGAATGTTCGGCTTTATGAACCTTTCTGTGATCCCTCCATGAGGTTCGCCGCCGAACCAATGTGTTCGATCTGCAAGCTTGACTCTTCACCCTAGTAGGTTTCCTCTTCTTTGTAAATGTTGCTTTGCTTATTGGCTTTCTGCTTGACCGTATTGTCCGGGTTCGTCGAAGAACTATCTTCGTTATACGTCAATGGTGTTTTCTGTTTCGATCCAAGTTGAACCTTAAAATTCATATGTAGCCAATTGCTCCTATGGCATAGCTTTCGTTGTGTGAATCATAGTTGAGTTAGTGATGGTCTATTTCTTCACGCCAATCATCATTAGTATGCTTGTTCTCCGATCTTCTCGCCGTTTTGTTCCCAGCGGGGATGCTTGTGTGTGTTGGCTCGTCGGTTCTTGTTAGGTGACAACGTTATAGTGTCGAGGCGAACTCATCATAATGTTCAGCTCGACACGACTAGTCTCTTGTTCGTCGCAGCTTGCCATTGATCCATCGCAGCTTATCTTTGGTTGCGAGCTCGTCAAAACTCTTGTAGCTCTGTGCAGCTCGTCGACACTCATATAGCTCTCCGCAGCTCGTGGCGATACTTGTAGCTCTCTGCAACTCGTCGCAATGTTTATAGCTCTCGGCGATCCTTGTAGCTCTCGGCAGTTCGTTAAGATGCTTGTAGCTCTCCACAACTCATTGCGATGTTTGTAGCTCTCCACAGCTCATCACGATGATTGTAGCTCTCCGCAGTTCGTCTACAGCTCAGTAACTCGACGATGCGAGAGCCGGTTTCTTCTATGCATGGTTTGGTTTGTCCCGCGAACTGGTTCGTCGTGTAGACCTGTTCATTGCGTAGAGTGGTTCGTCGCAAGTTTTTTCGACGTACAGACTGCTTCGTCTTCGTCGCATTGAATGGTTGGCGAAGAGCCGATGTGGTTCATTGTGTCTTAGTTTATCGACGAGCCCGTTTGTTTCGTCACGCCTTTGTTATCTGCCGTTTATTGTTTGGCTCTCTATCTTCAACGCCTGGATTTTCTCAACTTGTCCAGGTGTTAGTTTCATCAAGTTTGCGTGGATTTTTGAGCTCAGATCTGTTATTTGTGAGATTTTAAAGCGTCGGTGGTTGTTGTGCGAGCTGTCGTGTCTTCGCGAGCCGTCGTCACAAGCTGTCGCATCGCGCGAGCTGCGAAATCGCGTTGTTGACTCCGATGAGTTGGACTGCGTGGTTGAGCGAGCTCCGGAGTTGCTTGCTATTCCGGATCTGTGTTTGATCGGCGAGCTGTCGCATCTTAGAGCAAGCCGCGAGCTGAAGAGTGAGATCAACAGACGAAAGTTTTTAATTTTACTTTGCCCCATCTCCGTTCAACGTGACCTACGTCATCTCGAAATGGCTTGGATAAATTGGCGTATCGTGAGCTGTGGCTCGCACTCAATATTTGCCGCAATCTGTGGCGTTTCGGGAGTAGGGTGTCTTGTGACCTGCTCTGACGCAAGCCCGTCTTTTGCGATGCCATGGTTCGTCGTTTCCAACCTTGTTTGCGACGTGACGAACTCAGGTCGTGGCTCGTTGTGACGAGCTCTGCTTTCAGCTCGTGTTGGCGTTGCTCAAATCCCGTATGTATCTTCCCTGCGAACCGTGGAGCTTCTTTTTTCGAAGCAAGCAGTAACTTGTCTCCTACGCTCGAGCTGTTGCTAGCTTCAGTTCCAGTTCTCGTTGGGACTCTAGGTCTTTAGGCCACATTTTGATTTCACGGGCGAGCTTTCGAATCTCGAGCTATTGCGGCTCTTCAGATCCAGTATCTTCTTCCGAGCGAGTTGTGGGTGCTTCTTGGAGCGAGCTGCAGGTTCTTCTTGGAGCGAGCTCATGAGTTTGTCGGACTGCACGAGCTGTGGGATTGTGTTGCGGATCGTGGTTTGTCGTGACTTGAACCGCGAGCTGCTGCGTCCAGAGCTTCTCTTGAACCGCGAATCGTCTTGATGTGATGTTGGTTCGGCCCACAAATATCTGTAGTTCGGCCCATACTCTCTATTGTGGCATTTTCAGCTCGTCTTCTCGCATCAAATGCGGCTTTCGTCGCGCCGTGTTCTTGGTGCGAGCTCTAGCTTTCTGTGAACTAGCTCGTCATCACTTGTGCACGATCCCTTCTAGCTCGTCATATCCGCAGCTCGTCGCGGATCTTTCCTCAGCTCGCGACGCCGTGGTTCGCACAGTATGCTGGTTTGTTCGCACCTCGGTAACATTCTGCAATGTTAATTGTTGAGCTCGGCGGGGAGTATTCCGACCCCAACAATGAGTTGCTTGCATGATCTTTGATTTCGATGTTTAGCTAGGGATTATCTTAGAGTCTTTGTCTCGTCTTGTCACTTAATTAATGCTGATTGCTTTACCGCACATCTAGTAATCCGATCTTAGGTTGATTTGAGTCACGAAAGTGCTGTATCATTCGCCGGACATATTCTTTGACAAGCTAGGTTTCTTAGACTGCGAAAGTTGATTTACTATAACCTAGTGAACTGTATCGGAACCTCATCTAATGCTTGATTTAATCACCTAGGGACATACCAAAAGTTTAGCGACTAGGTAGATTAACAAAGGAACCGGAGCCTCGAAAGTGGAATGGTTTTATATTCGTGATCTGTGTTCTAGACGGTTCTTAATATCCCAATATCCCTAATCTTATCATCTATCATTGTTTCATTGATCATTGCTTGCTTCTCTGCGATTAGCCCCTATTGACCTAGCGCTTCTTCCCACTGATTTACAACCTCGTTTACTTGCTAGTTTTATTTACAATTACAACCTCTCAATCATACTTTTGTTTTAGCTTGATCCAAAATCCATAGTTTCAAAGTGTACTCAATAGCCAGTCCTTGTGTTCGATACCCATACTTCCGCGATCTGTGCACTTGCAGAGGTCTAAAGAGTTTGGTAAAACCTGACTCACATCAAGTTTTTGGCGCCGTTGCCGGGGACTGCAGCAGTACCTTTGAATCTCGACTAGGATCTAGTCTAGAATCTTACTTTTCTTGCTTTTTTGCTTTTGAATTTCTAGTTTTTGATTTCTTTTCTTTGATTTTTTTTTTCTTTTGTTTTTCCCTTTTGATTTAGTTTGTTTCCTAGATTCTTTTCAGGTGCATGACTAGGAAGTCTAACAAAGACAACCTAGTTGAACATCCAGAGATAGACAAGCTTGAGAAGATACTTAGGAAGCAAAAAGCTCAAGAGATGGCCGAGAAGCAGCTCGCGCTCATGACGCTGAAGTAGCGAGCTAGCGAAGAAGGAAGAGATCCACCTCCTCCTTTAATCCACAAACCTCCTGCTGGGGATGTGAATGTGCAACCTCAAGCTGACATTCAAACAATCGGAGACTATGACTCTGCCGATGCTTTCTTCACGGATAGAAACCCTATCCATCCACCACTTCCTGCAAGGAATGACTATGAGATCAAGCCTCAGATCATAGCATTGGTTAGACAGAACCAATTCAATGGCCTTCCAGCCGAACATCCTCTTGATCACATAGAAAACTTTGAAGAGATTTGCAGCACTACTAGATCCAATGGAGTCTCAGCTGACTACTTGAAGTGCAAGCTCTTTTCATTCTCTCTTGGCGACAAAGCTTCAAGATGGTTGAAGTCTCTGCCAGCTCACTCCATCACCACTTGGGATGAGTACAAGGCCGCTTTCATCAACCACTTCTACACCAAAAAGATCAATTTCTGTAGGAACAAGATCTCCAACTTTCGCCAAGCAACTAATGAATCTTTCTATGAGGCGCTAGATCGATTCAAGGAGTACATTAGGGACTGCCCTAATCATGGTTTCAAGGAGGGAAACCTATGGAACATCTTCTATCGTGGCATAGACCACAAGTACAAGCTTTCATTGGATACTGCAAGCAATGGAAACTTCATGACCAAGACAGTTGATGAAGCTAAGGTTCTTATTGAGAATCTTGCAGCTAGTGATTGTAACAATTGTCCTGATTATGATCGCTCAAGTCGCACCACTACTACTCCCCTGATGTTTCTCAAATGACTGAACTCAAGAACATGATGGCTCAAGTTCTTAAGGGACAGCTCAAGCATATCAATGCAATAGAAGGGATGAGTGATGCGAATGAAGACCCATCAAGAGAAGTACATGGGAGATTCTCTAATGAAGCAATGAAGAAGATGTGAACTACATTGGAAACTATGGGAACAAGTGTAACATCCGTAGACCAAAGAATTGTGATTTTTCTTTAGTGTCGGTCGACACCAATGGTTAAAAATCGATTTCCTGTTCAATTTAAGTCAATTGAAATCCGGTTTAGGCCCGGTTTAGGGCGTAAACCCTTGGGTCTTGAATAAAAGTTGCGCAGCTGCTTCCTCTTTTCTCTGTTTTGTCGTTTTGTGGCGAGTTTGGAGAGGAGAAGAGATTTGAGGTGTTGGTCGATCGATGCGAGGCTGGTTCGTCGTTGTTTCGGAGCCTGAGTCATCGTTGGTGGCTGCTGCGTCGCTGTTCTTCGTGTCCTTCGTCAGATTCATCATCTTCAATCCGATTTCCCCTCTTTTCAACCTAAAATCGAGGTGAGTGCATGACTGTGGGTCCATGATTGCTAGATTCAGGATATGTATATGTTTCTGTGGTGATTTTGTGATGATATTGATGTTTGATTCAGTATTTATGGTTGTTTGATTGATTTCCTGTGAATTGCGAATTTCGGGTACTGTTCATAGCCCGATCTGGGTTTTTCCAGAATCGGTGTCGGTCGACACCAGAAGGCTTGTGTCAGTCAACACCAAGCTGGTGTTGGTCGACACAAACCGGTTAACTCTAGTTAAAATTGATTTAATTGGTTTAATTGAAATTGACTGGTTTAAATCAATTGGAATGGTTTATCCGAATTGGATTGGTTTAATGTGGTATTTAATTAATTAATTGGTATTTAATTGATTAAATGATTTAAAATATAGAAAATTATTATTTAATTTGGAAAATTATTTAATAATTGAGAAATGAAGTTTTAATTGTTAAAATTATTTAATAATTCGAAAATTGGTATTTAATAATTATTGGAGTTTAAAAATATTATTAAATATCTAGTAATTGCGTAAATGGCTCGTAGGCAGAGTGATTGCCTCACTAAGTATTTATTAAATACTTACGCAACTCCATTCCAATGTGTTGCAGGTAAAAGATTTGTGTGATCGCGGAATCAAGGCTGAAGAGGGGGATGATAGGATGTTTAATGTTTTATTGTTTTACATTATTTTTGCTAGACTTGTTTAATTATTATTGCTTCCGCTGAACTGTTTTATTTGTTATTGATATTTTATTTATTTAATTTATTTTAAAGACCTTCGTTAGAATTGTTTAGTATTTAAATATAAAAAAAATGTTAGTTGTTTCATTTTGGTATCAGAGCCTAGACGGTTTTAGGATTGTTAGAATTGCTAGGCTTTAGTACCATAATTGCTAGACTGTACGGTTCTAAAGCCTAGTAATTATAACAGTCCTAAAACTGTCTAGGCTCTGATACCAAAATGAAACAACCAACACTTTTTTTAAATTAAATACTAATCAATTCTAGCGAAGGTCTTTAAAATAAATTAAATAAATAAAATATCAATAACAAATAAATCAGTTCAGCGGAAGCAAATAATAATTAAACAAGTCTAGCAAAACAATGCAACAATAATAAAAAGAATAAAATCCTATCATCCCCCTCTTCAGCCTTGATTCCGCGATCACACAAATCTTTTACCTGCAACACATTGGAATGGAGTTGCGTAAGTATTTAATAAATACTTAGTGAGGCAATCACTCTGCCTACGAGCCATTTACGCAATTTACTAGATATTTAATAATATTTATAAACTCCAATAATTATTAAATACCATTTTCCAATTATTAAATAATTATTAATAATTAAAACTCATTTCTCAATTATTAAATAATTCTTATAATTAAATAATAATTTTCCATATTTTAAAATAATTAAAATAATTATTTTAAATAATTAATTAATTAAATTAACCATTAATTAATTAAATCCGAAAATAAATCAAACAATTTGAATTAAAACATTTTAATTCAATTACACCAATTAACCAGAATCAAATCAATTTAAACCAAATAAACCAATTAAATCAATTAAAATTAAACCAAGATAAATCAATTAAATTCAATTAAACAGATTAAACCACACAAACACACAATTCATCACAGAAACAACCAAAATACATGAAATAACAATTAAACACATAAACTCATCAAGAACAACCACAAACCAAATCTAATCTAGCAAATCGCGGACCCACAGTCATGCACTCACCTTGACAATGGATTGAAACTGAAGGAAAAAGGAAAGACGATGAACAGTGCCGAATCGCGGATGAACAGTACCGATGAACAGTAAAATCGGATTTTTCCAGGAACTCTCAAAATCGCTTTTCTCCTTCTCTGCCTCGAAAAATGTGATGAACAGACGGCTGCTTCTCCTTTAAAACGAAAATAAGGGTTTCCAACCCTTAACCGGGCTAAACCGGGTCCAATTTCACTCAAATTGAACTGAAATCAATTACCAATTACTTGGTTCATGGATGTTACAGATTGCATGTCATTAAAGTTCACGATTCATACCAAATCTTCTTACCCCCAAATTTTTCGAATAATTTCGAAACATCCACTAACTACACAAGATTAGATGCAGGTTTCAACACTAAATAGGTAATAAGTAAAATTTACTAAAATTAATATGTTAAAGTAATAATACTATGTGGAATAAAAGAAAATATATGGATATTAAAAAAATGTGAATTTGCTAATAAGAATAAAAAGAAATTAATTATTCAATAGAAAAAATAATAATGACATGGACCAATCAAATGCAATTTTAGAATCCTAAGTGTACACCTTTAGATACATATAGGGCAACTTTTATTAATAATAGATAGATAGATAGATAAATTTAATTTGCTGAAACAAAAAAAAAATTGTACGGTTCTTTTTGGTTATATACTTACTAGTAGAGGACCCGTGCAAACACGCGGTGTGACGTTGCAGTTTTGTGAAGAAAATCTAAATTCTAAACCTGAGTCCGCCCCAAAAACCCTAATCAAAATTTTTTAAAACCCAAAACTTTTTAATATGTCTAAACCCGAAAATCCGAAATCCAAAAAATCCTGAAAACCGTAAACCGAATAAAATTAAACTCGAAAGTTTTTCACTCGAAACCCGAACTAAAAACCCTAATAATTTTTTTTAAATACCTAAACTTTTTTAATATGTCTAAACCCAAAAACTCAAAATCCAAAAAAATCTGGAAAACCCTGAACTAAACCCAAAAAAACTCGAACCCAAACTGATCAGAAATTTTCAAAAAAAACCATAACAGAAATCCACAATTTGATTTAAATTAGAGTTATTTCTATTTCACTATTGGAAATTTTGCAAATATCACTCGATAATATTCTATTAATTTGGTATTATCGATAGACTATGTTAATTTTTCTTTTTTGCAGATTTTTTAAGAGCTGAAAAATGGAAGTTTTTTAAACTATCGGTTTGTTTTGAGTTATTATTCTTGTATCCAAAATTATTTTTTTCTCTTCTATGTTTATTCTTATACTAGATTAGGCCCCGCGTATATGCAGGTTTATTTTAATTATTTAAAAAAAAAATCACGGAAGAATATTAAACAAATTTAATAACTTTTAAAATAAGTTAAATAATATTTAAAACACGATAACAAATCTCTAAATAAAATAAGATATGTAAACTTTTCACATTTTAATTTTGAATTCATGATATGAAATAGAAAGATTTACATGTGTCTAAATATAATGTGGATATAATCGACTCATTAATTTATGAAAATTTGATTATTCCATTGATGAAATAATTATTTTAAATATTGATGAAATATATATTAAATAATGTTTTACCTAACAAAAAAATGAAAAATTAAACTATTTAATATTAGAAGATCAGTCCATTATAATTTTTTTATTTTAATATTATTTAGTTCATTGATAATTATTTTGATAGTTTTCTATTTATATTATTTCTTTTTCAATTTTGTTTTTGCCTCTGATTATTATAAATTTTCATTTTCATTATTAGTTAGTTGTTTTATAATTATTTTGTTAGTTTATTTATTTATACTATTACATTTTTCTAATTTTTTTGTGTTGACACATGTCATCACCTGATCAAATATTATACACATGTAGATTTTTATTGACAAATTTTAAGACATACACTTCTTCTTGATGTGTAAATTTTCAAAAATACACCTCTAGTGTGGCAATTTTCAAAACTACTTTTTTTCCTAATTTTAATATATATGTCTGAGTTCACTAATCCTTAATTAGGTTTAGATTTTGGGGTTTAAAATTTAGATTTAAGGGTTCAAGGTTAGATTTTAGGGTTTAGAGTTTATATTTTAGGGTTTAGAGCTATTTTACTTAATGAAAAAGTGCAATTTTGAAATAGACACCATAAAGGTGTAGTTTTAAAATTTTCCCATTTTTATTTCTTAATGAGGAAGAATTTTTTTAAATTATATAATTTGTATATATTTGTTTTTTTCCTTTTCATAATGGGAATATGTCTTTTATTCCTTTTCTTATTCGATGTAACATTTTTAATTATTTCTTCATTTTTTTCTGATTTTTTGTTTTTTTTTTCTTTTTCATAATAGGATTATGTTTTTTCTTTACTTTTCCTATGAATGTAATATTTTTCTTTTTAATTTTTTGTTTTTTTTTCTGATTTTTTCTAATGTACTAACAGGTTTTATTTATTATATTATTTTAAATTTCGATATGTGTTTAGATAATACTGTATAAATTTGATGAATGAGAAACTTTTTTCTATTTGGATATGACAAATATATTTTTTTTTTCCTTTTAACTCTAATAGATAAATTTTTTTTAATTTTCGTTTTTCTAATATTTTTTTTCCACTGTTCTTTTGAACTTTCAAAGAATTCAAATTATTATATAAATTTTCGTTTTTATTATAAAAAATTTCCTTAAAAAAAAAATTTTTTTTTCACGATCTTAACAGACATAACCTTAAAAGTAACATATGTCGCGATCCTATATTTTATAAAAATCCTATTTGTCGCGACCACGTTGCGCGCATCCATCTTTATATAATAAAATATCAGCAAATTACACTGAAAATAGGCATACCCGATTACACATTCCGCCCATGGATCACGTGATTCGTGCCCGGCCCATCATTTTCCCGCCGCACTCTTCCCGCCAAAACTCATCGTCGAGTAAAAAACCCTCTTTCCTTTCGCCTCTCTCTCAGAAGGCAGAACATTCCACAGAGAGAGATTTGTAGCGGAGACGAAGAACGATGTCTGGGTGGGACGAAGGAGCAGTGTACTACAGCGACCAGCCACAATTCCCGGAGGCCGGAGACGCCACCACCGTCAGTCCCCATGCCGTCTTGACGAAATTCAAGGAATTCATTAGAAATTTCGAGATCGAGCAGAATTGTTTCCCTTATAGAGAAGCCCTCCTCGATAACCCTAAAAGACTTCTTGTTCACCTTGAAGATCTACTTGCATTCGATTCCGATCTCCCTTCTTTGATCCGATCTGCTCCTGCCGATTTTCTCCCCGTGGTTTGACCGCGATTTCCTTAACAGTTTGAAATATTTGCTATTTACTTCGTATAGATGTGATTAAATTCCTGAAAGTATGAGAAATTAGGATTCCTGTAAGTATTGGTGTTTAAGTGTTACTGAAAATTTTCATATTTTTAATTTATTTAAGAGGATTAAGGCCCATTTGTTCATGTTAGATACTCGATCTGTTTGAATATTTGCGGTTTATGCATAGAGATATGCTAGAAGAAATTAGGAGCTCTGGAAGTATTGTGTTCGAGTGTTTCTGAAATTTTTATCTCTTTTATTTGTTATTATGTGACACTTTTTAGTGCTGATAGAAGTTATAGACTGAAAGAATTGTTTTTTTTTTTTTTTTTATTGTAGTTCGAGAAAGCAGCTGGTGAAGTTCTCGCTGGATTGAAAATGAGAGATGCTAGAGAGACAGGAGAAATGGAGGAGCCTTCGACAACTGATGTGCAGATTTTACTGACTTCAAGAGAGGATCCAGTGTCAATGCGATTACTTGGGGTATGTCATTTTCGATTGTCTGATTAAAATGTTCTCTGTTTATGTGTTTTCTTGTTTCCCTGGATATTAACTCTAGCTTGGCACAGGCACAGTACATCTCAAAATTGGTTAAAATCTCTGGGATTAGCATTGCAGCTTCTAGAGTGAAGGCAAAGGCGACTTACGTCTTTTTAGTATGTAAGAATTGTAGAAAAACGAGGGAAGTTCCATGTCGCCCAGGTCTTGGTGGGGCCATTGTTCCTCGATCGTGTGATCATATTCCTCAGGTTCTTGCACTATCTCTTTCATATGGTGATGATTTACATTTGCAGTTATCCTGAGTTTTGATTAGACCAACCGTGCCTTGTTTAGCCTGGAGAAGAACCTTGTCCTCTTGATCCGTGGATGGTGGTTCCTGATAGGAGCCAGTATGTTGATCAGCAGACATTAAAATTACAGGAGAACCCGGAGGTAAACATCTGTTGTTTACATGGTATAGATTTTTCTATTAAGACACTTGTTTATGGAAAATGCTTTTGACTGTTGAAGGATGTTCCTACTGGAGAGCTTCCCAGAAATATGCTTCTCTCAGTTGATCGGCATCTTGTACAATTAATCGTACCTGGAACCAGACTGACAGTAATGGGTATCTACAGCATTTTCCAAGCTTCGTCATCATCTAACTCGTAAGCTCTTAGTTTATGTCAATTCAGAGTGTAGATTGTTATCTGGTAAATATGCACCAACAATGCTTATGATGTAGGCACAAAGGAGCAGTTGCAATTCGGCAGCCTTATATAAGAGTTGTTGGACTGGAAGACACAAATGAGGCCAGTTCACGTGGTCCTGCCAACTTCACTCCCGACGAAGTTAGTATCGCATCATTTGAACCTTTTTTTTTTTTTATCTTTTCCAATTGAAACTCTCAAGTCAATCTTATGGTGTTTTGAGGAAAAAGACTTGTGCTTCTAGTTTAGTATGAACCTTGTAATTTTGTTTCCAACACCACTTTATGTAGTTTAGTCGTAAAACTGCATTTAACAGTTTTGTTTTTCACAATATTGCTTTAAGGAGGAAGAATTCAAAAAATTTGCTGATAGTAAAGATGTGTACGAGAACATTTGCACCAAGATCGCGCCTTCTATATTTGGTCATGAGGACGTGAAGAAAGCAGTGGCGTGTCTTCTTTTTGGAGGATCAAGGAAGGTAGGTACCTGCGATTTCAGTATTCATTTTCTGTGTACTTGGATATATATTTTGATATATACATCATTATCTTTTCAGAGCCTACCAGATGGAGTCAAACTAAGAGGTGATATTAATGTTTTGCTTCTGGGAGACCCATCCACTGCTAAATCACAGGTTTGTATACTGGTCTTTGTCCTCAATGATTTCTAATAACTGTGGTATTATTTCTTAAATTATTTACTGCACTTTCAGCTTAGATATTGAACGAAATTGCTCTTTTTATTTCTAGTTTCTTAAATTTGTGGAGAAGACGGCTCCTATTGCTGTTTATACATCTGGAAAGGGTTCATCCGCTGCTGGGCTCACGGCTTCTGTGATTCGAGATAGCAGCACTGTATGTCCTATCTTTGCCACGTCTTTCTGCCTCATTCTCTCTTTTTTTTCTGCTCTATGATATGTTCATAATTAGTTTGCTATGAAATTTTTTTATTAATTATACACATTATGTTTATTGCAGCGCGAGTTCTATCTTGAAGGCGGTGCTATGGTTTTGGCTGATGGAGGTGTTGTGTGTATCGATGAATTTGACAAGATGAGACCGGAAGATAGGTAAGTCATATCTAAATCATAGGATTGCCAACTCTAATATTTGGTTATGTGTTGAACTGACCGAAGATCTATTTAGGGTTGCTATTCATGAAGCAATGGAGCAGCAGACCATCTCCATTGCAAAAGCAGGAATAACAACTGTCCTGAATTCTAGAACCTCGGTGCTTGCTGCTGCTAACCCGCCCTCTGGTCGATATGATGACCTTAAGGTCTTGTACTCTTCTTTGTCAATAGCATAGAGTTTTCCCAATTCGTATTCATACAATATATCCTTACGGGTGGTTTCTGTGTTTGTAGACTGCACAGGACAATATTGATTTGCAGACGACAATTCTTTCTAGATTTGATCTTATCTTCATTGTCAAGGACATCAGGAAGTATTCTCAAGACAAGGTAATCAAACGAAATTGTTTGATTGGCATAGTTCATTTCTTTGGTTGCAGAGCTAGACATTATTAATGTTGTAATAAACTTCACAGGAAATAGCCAGCCATATTATAAGGGTTCATGCATCTGCAGACAAAGTTACGGATGATAACACAGATTCTAAAGAAGATAATTGGCTTAAGAGGTGTGTTTGTGCTCATCATGACAACAATGTATTCTTGTAGTTTTCTATACAAAGTTTTGACTCTAAAATGTAATGATCTTGTCATCTCAGGTATATACAATACTGTCGAGCAAGGTGTCATCCCCGTCTCTCAGAACCAGCAGCTATGAAGCTGCAGCAGCAATATGTCAAGATCAGAGAGGTAATTTGTCATTACTTTAGAACATTTAACAATAAGATGGTACAAAAAGAAGAGTTGCTATCAAGACTAAAAAAAAAAAAAAAAATTGTTTTGGTAAACAGGATATGAAAAGACGTGCACATGAAACAGGAGAGGCTGCCCCAATACCTATTACTGTGAGACAACTCGAAGCTATTGTCAGGCTGAGCGAGTCACTTGCCAAAATGAGACTGTAAGTAATTTTATTAGATTAGCAGAGGGATCTCTGAAACTTGTTGGGCCTGTGCCCTGCATTGACTTTGTTAAAAATCCCAGGTCACACGAGGCTACAGCAGACGATGTAGGCAAAGCTTTTAAACTTTTTGATACGTCAACCATGGATGCCGCAAGATCAGGGATAAATCAACAGATAAACATAACGAGCGAGATGGCCAACGAGATTAAGGTTTAATGCTTCTTAAATTCACATTCCTTATATTTTCTATGGTTTGCTATGTATTAACTACTTGAGTTGGTATGAAAACAGCAAGCAGAAACACAGATAAAGAGAAGAATGGGGATCGGAGCTAGGTTATCAGAGAGAAGACTGATAGAGGATCTGGCTAGAATGGGAATGAACGATTCAATGGTACCTAAACAGAAGCTCTTAAACATATTTGTTGTACAATATTCATCAATGCAAGTGGGATTTTGAGTTTGTGTGAAATTTGAAAATGGCAGGTGAGGAGGGCCCTCTTGATAATGCATCAGAGAGGTGAGGTTGAGTACCAGCGAGAAAGACGTTCCATTGTCCGCAAAGCTTAATCTTCAGAAAACAGTTTTTTATTATTATTAAGTTTATTTGTACCCAAAACACCAAGAAGTTTATGTCATGTGTATTCGATGAAGATCCTTAGGTAAACTTTTATGCTCGCTTGAATTTCTTTTGTTAAAATGTTCTAGACCACCAATGTTAAGAAATCATTACGAGTTATCCGGCGGTAATATAGTACAAGTACGCATTCGCCAATGGCACTGCCTACGGCGATCAATGCTCTGCCTAAAGACTTGCTTCAGCCACAAAATTGAATTCAGCCCAGGATTGAATGGTAATGGATAATGGGTTAATCTAATACAATCAGTGAATCTATTAGGTAGATCCATGCCCCATCTAGTTATATAAATTAATTGGTTAAATATACAGTAAAACCTCTATAAAACAATAATGTTGGGACTTTGAAATTTTATTATCTTATAGAGTTATTATTTTATCGATAAAACAATAATTATTATTTTATAGAAATATTCTATCAAAAACAAGAAACTTTATAGACATATATTTTTTCACTTTTTTATTCAAATTTTCCTTATACTTTGTTATTTACATATTTCATGCTCAGAAGTTCAAAATCTAGAAGAAATTATGTCTAATATTCTTAATGGTGAAGATGAAGTTGAAGATGATGAGGAAAGACATGTGCAAGTAGTTAAAGCAATTGTGGCTTCGAGAACTCTTCACAACTTTTGGCTGCAAGTTGAGAATACATCAACAGAAATTGTAGATCCAATAAGAAAAATTCGAGATGAGCTCCAACGGGAATCCAACTTTCAGAAAAGACAAACTACATTGGAGTCATATTTTACTAAATTGTCTTAGATATATATGCCTTAGTTTTATAATTATTATCTTAGGTTATTGTTGGGACTATATTTTTACATAGGAGTTTCAAAAATATTATTGTCTTATCATCTTATCGCATTATGCTATTTTTTACATTGGCCCGAGTTGGGACCGGAGAAAATTATTGTCTTATAGTGTTTATTGTTTTATCGAGTATTGTTTTATAGAGGTTCTACTGTATACAAGTACTAGCAGGCCCGCACATTTGTGTGGTATGTTATTTTTCATTTTTAAAACACAGGGAAAATGAGTAAACAAACTGTGAGCTATTCCAAAAACATAAAACAAACCCTGAGCTGTTTTTGTGGGCTTTTAAACCCTCACCTATAAAAAAAAAGAATTCAGCCCCTAAGTTAATAAGCGAATAAATAAAACAAGTTTCTTGATTATTTTTTTTCTACAGTTTCGTCTTCTTCTTCTAAATTTAGGTCAAACATTTACAATATAATAATTTCTTAGAAGAGAAACTAGAGCAAACAGATTTTATCTAGTTGGAAATGAGTTGAGTCTATTATATGGAGTTCATCCAATTTTGATTACTTAGAATAAATTTGATCTCTGGCTTGAAAAACAATTTGTATTGATTTTGAGTGAGTTGACGAGATACTTTTGACAAAAAATTGATTTTTTTCTTCTTATTATATTCCTTGTTAAGTGATGATTTGCATGCCTATGGTGTTGCGGAAGATAGAGAACGCAATGGAGATAATGATTATGAGAGTGAGAAATTGAATGAATCAAGAGAATAATTGGTTGGTTTAAGGATGCAAGAAGACATAGATAGAACGAAGTGGCCATAGCTCGACTGGTAAAAGGACCCTAGGCAAAGTTTAGAGGTCACATAATCGAATGCCACTTGGGATGAAACTGATATTACATATTGTGGTTTCGGGTCTGGGGATGTACGGGTTTCAGCCCAGAACCTCCTAGTTATTAAAAAAAAAAAAAAAAAAAATAATAATAATAATAAATAAATAAATAAATAAATAAAAAGATTGACAAATAGGCTGTGGATAGACGAGAAATATACGGTATAAGAGATCTAAAACTACTAAAGTAGGCGATGTTTGTGCAGAAAAGAGATGTCCTTGGAATATATATGCGTCTATAAACAGTTCAAGTAAAGATATGATTGTGAGAACTTTCGTTGGAAAGCACACATGCTCATGGAATGGTAAAATTCAGTTATTAACTTCGAGGAAGATCTGTGATAAGTCAAGATCAGAACATATTAAGATAGCATGATATGATTAAAATAACAATAAATCATGAATAAACGATTAAAAAACAACATAAAGACAAGAACTAAAGCATTAATGATACCATTTGAATTCTATGTTGTGTTTGTCTACCAGCAGGAGTTTCAAATGCTTCAAGACGTCATTTTGGTGTCTTCTTTCGCCCAAGTGGGTCTTTAAAAGGCGGTGGTAACACTATTACATCTTTATGTATAGGCCAAAGCTCCATACCATTATTAGGTTTTAGTATGTGTTCATAACACACTTTCCATTTAGGAATTGATGACCATCCTGTTAAGCTTGAGAGAAAAGATTGGGTCTTTATTCATGCCTTACGAGAATTTATATAATACAAGAGAGTTTAGGTTAAATCTACCTAAGAATCTAGAGAAAAGGAAATATACATCAGAATAGGAACATATACATAATGTTAGCTGAGAATATCCTAATACTCCCTCTCAAGTTGGAGCGTGGAGATCACAAACGCCTAACTTGCAAAGGAAATAGGAGAATTGCTGTCGCCCCAATGCCTTAGTAAGAAGATCAGCAAGCTGGTCAGAGGTAATTTCGTCCCAGATGAAATGACAGTCACCTTCGATGTGTTAAGTGCGTTCGTGAAAGACTAGATTTGCTGCGATATGAAGAGCGGACTTGCTGTCGCAGACAAGCTTCATTGGAGACTTATGTGGGATCCCAATGGACTGGAGAAGTTCCTTGATCCATAAGATTTCTTGAGTCGCAAATGCCATGGCCCGATATTCGGCTACTGTAGACGAACGTGCTACACAATCTTGCTTCTTTGTTTTCCAAGAGATCGATCGCCAAGTAAGATAACGTAACTGCTGAGGGAGCGTCGAGTGAAAGGACATGATTGCCAATTGAGTCGCAGTAGGCAGTGACCTGAAGATCACAAGTGGAAGAGAGGAGATTTCCTTGACCAGGGAGCCTTTGAGATAACGTACAACACGTATAGCTGCATCCCAATGAGCTTGACGAGGGCATTTCATGAACTGAACTAGTATATGGACAGAGTAGCTGAGTTCTGGCCGAGTAAGAGCGAGATAAACTAGACGACCAACAAGTCGTTTATACTTGGAGGCATTTGCAAAGAACGGTCCATTGTTGGAGGCAAGACGCTGGTTCTATTCAAGAGGTGTGTCGAGAAGACGTGCACCACTAAGACCGCATTCAGCGAAAATGTCAAGACAATATTTGCGTTGCGAGAGGTAGATACCATCTGGTCCACGATAGACTTCTATTCCCAGAAAGTATTTGAGAAGACCCAAATCTTTCATCCGAAAACAAGTGTTAAGGTAATTTTTGAACTGTGAGATGACAGCAGAATCATTAATCACTAAATCATCGACATAGACGAGAATATGGAGTACCGTGGATCCTCGAACGAGAGTGAACAGAGAGTAGTCTTTCCGACATTGAACGAAACCATAAGCAAGGAGAGCTTTGGAGAGCTTAGAGAACCAGCAGTGAGGCGCCTGTCGTAAACCATACAGAGATTTATTGAGTTTGCAAACAAGATTGGGATTAGAAGGTTGAAACCCCGGCCGTGGTTTCATGTAGATTTCTTCATTGATATCACCGTGAAGAAATGCATTGTGGACGTCCATTTGATGAAGTTCCCAATTCCTTGCACTAGCAACTTGTAGGAGTATTCGAACTGTATTCATCTTGACCACGGGAGCAAACGTCTCATCATAATCTATTCCCTCCTCTTGAAAATTTCCCATAACAACTAATCTTGCTTTGTGGTGCTCAATGGATCCGTCGGAGTTGTATTTGATACGATAAACCCATTTGGATGCAAGGGCTTTCTTCCCTGGTGGAAGCTCGGTTAAACTCCACGTTTTTGTTGCCTCTAGTGCCTCAACCTCAAAACCCATTGCTTTCCGCCACACTTCAAATTGTACTGCATCTTTAAAGTAAAGAGGTTCTTCTCTAAGGGTGATTTCAGCCAAAAAGATAGTGTGACTGTCGGAAAAACGATCACATGAGACAAAATTAGCAATAGGATAGATACACATACCAGAAGATGTCGAGTTGGAGTGAGGAGAGAGGAGAGCGGGATTATCATTTTCACACCGAACAGAGTAGGTGATGTATTCATTGAGGCGAGTAGATGAAGTACAATGACGACGACCGCGACCTAGTTGTTCTGCAAGGATTGGTTCACTAGCAGTTTCAGATACGGAGCCATCTTGTTCCTCTGTTCGAGATTCTGGTGGAGTTAGTTCATTCCCCCTGTCTTTGACAAATGTAACAAGGGAAAGATCATAATCATCATCTACTGCTGAAATCTGTGGCGGAGTGATGATAGGATTTTGTGGTGATGTGGAATGAAATATGTAAATGATATGAGATCGATGCAAACAAGGGTGGAATAAGAATGATATGGTATGGTGCAATCACAATCAATCAATTCCTCTTAATCATCATAGTCAATGCAGCATAAGAGGTTATCAATCCATAAAGGTTTATTGCTACTCTATGAGAATATGCAAATACAAGGAGGTCAAGTAAATATGGTAAAGATGGATGATTCTAACAACCTAATGAAATGAAAGTGCAATGCGGATATGAAACAAACTAAAAGTGCATGAAATAAACAAGAAACAAGCGGCTCGACCTAGGACTCGATCGAGTAGAAACAGAGCATTAGAGCTTGATCGAGTTGGGAGTCGAGTTGAAGTAAAACAGGGAAAAGCGAATGCAAAAACAGTAAAAGTGCAAACTTTAAGCTATTAAGATGAAGATTAAGGTCTAAGACAGGGTTCTGCGACTAGGGGCAGGCAATACTTAATCAATCTTGCTCTCAACCACTTGTACTGAAGTTATCTCTTGGCATTGAGCTTCTTAGCCTAGCTAACCCTTTCCCAAGGTGAAAGCTATCATCTAAAGCAAGATCTCAGTGACAGGGGGTCAGCCAGTGGGAATCAAGCCTTAGAGGCATTATAAACTATGCTCAAACTCACCCATTCAACACCTATAAACTCCATTTCGTAGAGCAAGCATGTTGAAGCTCTTAGTGGACATTTTCAAGCGATTTCCCATCATTCCCATGAGGAAAACCGCTTATGATCAAACACACCATGGATAGTGATTTGTTGCGTTAGGCTTTGTCCAAAAGAGAGAGATTTTAGATTAAGAATGTAGCATCCCGGTTTGTTATAAATGAGGGGAGGCTTAAGAGATTGATTTGGCTACCTATGTCAACAAAGTGCACTTACCTTTTCGGTCAAAGGTCTATAAGTAACTCCAAAGTTAAGCGTGCTTGGGCTGGAGTAGTTGAAGGATGGGTGACCTTCCGGGAAGTGGTTTCCGAAACCGTGTGAGTGAGGCCAAAACACGGGAAAGGTCGGGTGTTGATTGCAGGGATAGTAAAAAAGTCATTAGAGCCTCTCAAAATAACGGACCGGCCGTCGGACAGGGGTGAGGCCCACGGGCCGAGATGGGCCTGCGGGCCAGAGGAGGGCGTGGGTGACTCACCGGGAAGGGCGGTCGGGCGTTATAATTTGGTATCAGAGCCAAACCCAGACGAGAGTGTGGAGTCAAGTTGAAGTGGCCTTGACTTACACCGTCAGGGGTGACGATCCAGGTGCGCAACGAGGACGTTGGCATAGTGAGTGGGGGTGAGTTGTAACATCCCGGTTTGTGATAAATGAGGAGAGGCTTAAGAGAATTGATTTGGCTACCTATGTCAACAAAGTGCACTTACCTTTTCGGTCAAAGGTCTATAAGTAACTCCAGAGTTAAGCGTGCTTGGGCTGGAGTAGTTGAAGGATGGGTGACCTTACGGGAAACAAAGGTATTTACGGGCAATAAGAATGGCGACCCAGGCATGATCGGTGACGGATCTTCTCGGATCTGTTCCAAGAGGTTTAATTCGGTTCCCACATACTGTGGTGTGGTGGTTATTGTCTCTTGTTTTTTTGGAGTCTTTGGGATTGATTTTGTAGGTCATACTTCGAGAGTAATATACGGTGGACATACGGTCACAATTTTGGTGAAACCTTGTCTTGGAAATTATGAATTGATCAGCATATATGGTGGTTTTTTCTTCAGGATCGTGAGGGATTCTATCCAGACTGGTATCAACGGATTTGGTAGGGCTTCTTTCAGCGATGCAAAGGATCCCATACGGATCTCTTACTCTTATATATTGGTTAGGTTTGGAAGGATTTGGCTTCTCCTTGAATTTTCACGGTGGGTCTGGATTTTATGTTATCGGCTTAGTTTGGATATGGGATTATGCAGAGAGAAACTGAGATACTCGGAAGTTCACAAACAGAAATCAAGGAGCTTTTGTGAGTCGGATTCAAGATCGAGGAAGAATTGTGATATATCACACATCAGACTGGGGAAAAGGGATTTTGATTGGTTCACGGGTGTAATAGAATCAAGGTTGTTTCAAAACTCATTGGTGATCCGGAATAGAGATACAGACGCTCATGTCTTTATGAATATGGGTTTATTGGGAGATTTGATGGACTGGAGAATTATCTTTCTTCAGTTCAGAGGATTACAGATCTTTTTGATTGATAGTATCCTCATGGAGACGTTTAGAATGAGAACTATAAGCAGAGTGATGTATAATGGGTTCCCATATTACTCTCAGTTTCGTTTGTCTCCTGTGTCTTCTTTTTTTGGTATACGTTATCTCTTGAGTCATCCTCGCGACGTGTCTGAAGAGCATGATCTTAAATCTGGTGGATCAAACAAGGGAAAAGAAACTCTTAAGCCGAGGCCGACGATTACTGTTATTCGGTTTCACAACAGGGTTGGTCTTACTGGTGGATCGCTGAGGAGATTTGTCCAAGGAATCTGGTCTAATACTTGGCTCCCGGGTAGTGTTTTTGGAGAGGTCTCTTACTGTGCTCTAATCATAATATCTGCAGTAGAGCAAGCAGAGTTTCTCAATTGTGTGCAGAGGTTGTCACCCGTTTCTCAGATGATTCGAAGGAAAATGGCTTTATATAGTCCAAGCACCAAAATAATGTATAACTCTTGGAAAAATATGGTCTGGAAAATAATACAGCTGTATTATTCCAATGGGAAATTTCAGGGGAAAATGTATGTTCTCTTTTGGTTTTATTGTGGTTCTTTAAATGGAAAAATTGTTGGTCTCTTAATATTTATGGTTATGACACGACTCGCCGGGAAGAATGGAAGGAAAATCTCAGAGGGAGATCCGCCGGAAGGATCGGAGGTTACAAATAAACCAGTTTAATGCGGATCTTGAGTTGGAATTGCCAGGGTCTGGGGAACAGATTCACAATAAGTTATCTGCGGGAGATCTGGTGGAAATTTAGGCATGAGTTTTTATTTCTTTCAGAAACAAAACATGATTTCTCTTTTTTGCAACAATTTCAGTTTCACTTTGGTTTTGATAAGTTATACACGGTTGACCCATGTGGCACAAGTGGTGGTCTAGCCTTATTCTATAATAATAATTTTAATGTTTCTATTATATCTTCTTCTAAGCGGTTAATTGATACGCAAGTTACAATTGATGGCAAAACAATGTTTATGTCCTTTGTTTATGGCCATCCGGTTCCAAAAAATCGAGATTATTTATGGGAACAGTTAACAAGAATAGGAATAACAAGAAGTGAACCTTGGTTTTTAATTGGGGATTTTAATGAAATTATAGGAAATCATGAAAAACAAGGTGGTGCAATTCGGTATGCTTCAACTTTTATGCCGTTTAATCTTATGATAGATGATTGTGGTCTAGTAGATTTCCCTAACCATGGCAATACACTATCATGGAGAGGGAGGAGATGGGGCAAAATAGTACGGTGTCCGTTGGATAGGGCGTTAGCACAGAGGAGTGGCATGACGTTTTCCCAAAATCACATGTCGAACATTTAAAAATGGTGGGATCGGATCATAGGCCTATTTTGGCCACCATCGATAACAAAATCCCGAAGGGGCGTCGGCAGTTTCGGTTTGATAAACGATGGCTCGGACAAGACGGGTTTACAGAAGCTTTAGAGAGCGGCTGGACACAAAAACGGAACGATGGGGAGGCAAAAATAGTTGATATGATCAGTGGTTGTCGCCATGCAATCTCCCGGTGGAGGCATGATAACAAACCTTATGGTAAGGAAAAGATTGCGGAATTACAGAAACTACTGAGGAAGTCCAAAACGACGATTTTCGGACGCAAGAGGAGCTTCTAGAAATTACACAAAAGCTGAAGGAGGCTTATAGAGATGAAGAACAATACTGGAAACAAAAGAGTCGTAATATGTGGCTAAAAGATGGGGATTTAAACACAAAATTTTATCATGCAACAACGAAGCAGAGACGAGCGATAAATAGGATGGTGGGTTTACATAATAAAACAGATACTTGGGTTACGGGGACAAAGAGATGGAGAAAGTGGCGGTTGATTATTTCTCGGAATTATTCACAACCACTTCACCAGATGGTTTCTCGGAAATTCTGGAGGGAATCACGGGACAAATTACAGATACGGATAATATTTTGTTGACAAAACCCGCGACAGAAGAGGAAGTACGATCAGCGCTGTTTTTGATGCACCCGGAGAAAGCACCGGGACCGGATGGGATGACGGCTTTGTTTTTCCAACGGTCATGGCCTATAATTAAAATGGATATACTCCGGTTCATAAATGATTTTTTAGCTTCGGGATGTTTTGATAAGAGGCTTAATATGACGAACATATGTTTGATCCCTAAGACCGAGAGACCAACCCGTATGACAGAATTACGGCCAATTAGTCTCTGTAATGTGGGGTATAAGATTATTTCGAAGGTTTTATGTGAACGTTTAAAAAAGGTGCTCTCCCAGCTGATTTCCGAGACTCAGTCGGCATTTGTCCCAGGGAGACTTATTTCGGATAATATTTTGATAGCACAGGAGATGTTCCACGGGTTACGGACAAATAAGTCATGTAAAGGGAAGTTTATGGCGGTTAAAACGGATATGAGTAAAGCCTATGATAGGGTGGAATGGCAGTTTGTTGAGGCTACTATGCGAAAAATGGGGTTTGCGGAACAATGGATTTCCTGGATTATGACATGTATTAAATCAGTAGAATATAAGGTTCTTATAAATGGTCAACCAAGGGGAAAAATTATCCCCAATCGAGGATTAAGACAAGGGGACCCTCTGTCTCCCTATCTTTTTATTCTCTGTACGGAAGTTCTAATATCCAATCTACAAAGCGGAAAGGCAAAAGACACTGACGGGGTTGAAGGTGGCCCGAGCAAGCCCACCAGTGTCCCATTTATTATTTGCAGATGATAGCCTCTTTTTTTGTAAAGCAACGGTGGAAGAAAGTAAAGTACTTCTAATGATTCTTCAGGAGTATGAAAGGGCATCAGGCCAGAAAATAAACTTTGATAAGTCGTCCATCCAGTTTGGTCATACAGTGGATACTAGTGTCCGTACACAGATCCATCAATTATTGGAAATCCATAAAGTTGGGGGCGTAGGCAATTATCTCGGGATACCAAAGAGTTTGGGGGGCGCAAAGACAAAAAATTTTAGTTTTCTTATAGATAGACAACACAAGAGGATAAACGGATGGACATCAAAAACCTTATCAAAAGGGGGTAAAGAAGTTCTGGTGAAATCAGTGTTATCGGCGATGCCCACACATGTAATGTCTTGTTTTCGGTTGCCAAAAGGGGTAACAAACAAACTCACAAGTGCGGTAGCTAATTTCTGGTGGAGTACTAACTCTCAAACACGCGGGATGCATTGGCTGGCGTGGCGGAAGTTGTGTCGTCATAAAACTAACGGGGGTTTGGGATTTAGAGTTATTGAGGATTTCAACACGGCCTTACTCGCCAAACAACTATGGCGCTTATTGGATAATCCGGAGTCACTTTTTGCTAAAGTCTTTAAGGGGAGATATTATCGGAACTCATCCCCTCTAGACCCAATACGGTCTTACTCCCCGTCCTATGGATGGCAGAGTATGATCTCGGCTCGACCTCTGGTTCACAAAGGGCTTATTAAAAAGTTGGTTCAGGATCTTCTATCTCAGTATGGTATGATCCATGGATTTCTGACTCTCGCCCGAGGTCAGCTATATGCAAGGGAATTAATTACTATCCTCATCTAATGGTGAATCAGCTGATTAATTCTCAGACATCAACGTGGAATCTCCCACTATTACACCAACTGTTCGAAAGTACAGAAATTGCTCGCATTACGGGTATTACAATTGCAACGGGGTACAGAAAAGACACTTGTGGGTGGCTTTTCACCAAATCGGGGCGATATACGGTTAAGTCAGGCTATAGGGTTCTACAGGAGCTTGCGGATGAAGATGTGATACCGGTATTTGGGCCAGATGTCCGTCGACTGCAAGCACAGTCATGGAAAGTTAAATGCACTACAAAGCTTCAACATTTCATTTGGCAGATTATCTCGGGATGTTTATCGGTTGGTGCACGGTTATGCAGTAGGGGGATGCGTGTGGATCCCCTATGTGTGCGATGTGGTATGGGAGATGAAACAATTAATCATATGTTGTTTGAATGCCTGATGTACTTGCATTTTACATAGTTTTAGCACATCTTTTATGCATCTTTTGCATAGTTTTAGCTTCCATTTGCATCATATCTTGTTCCTTTTCTCTTCTTATGCATTCATGTTAGTTTTAGGTTGCATTTGCATACATATGCATGTTTGGTCCTTTGAAATAGGTCTTTTGGAGCATTCTGGAGCATATGGGACATGAGGAGCATGGAGGGACTTGGCACATGGAAGCAGCTCAACTGGACACGCAAAGGAAGAAGGGAGAAGCCATCTTGAAGACCAGCTCGACCGTCCACTCGACCAACCGGTCGAGTTCCTCAACTCGACCGGCCAAGCTTCAACTCGATCGAGCTGGAAGTCAAAGTCAAACCCGAAAAATGTTGCTTCCCCCTTGACTTTCCTTTGACCCTAAACCTAATCCTCTTGTATTTAAAGGCTCTAAGCCACGAAAAAACCACCAAGCTTTAGATTATTTTGTTTTAGCTTCTTTTAATTTATTGTCTTTACTTTTTAGCAACCCTAATCCCATCTTTGTGTTCTTGAAGCTCTTGCTTCTTGAATCTTAGATCCTGGATTATTCTTTGTATTTGCACTTGCTTATTTCAATAAAAGTTGTTTAATTTCATCTCCTCTTTCTTATGATGTCTCTTTTATTGCATTTGCTTGTGTTTACATTCATGTGTAGTGAGTAGTTACCCATTAGGGTTTGAGATGGGATAGATTAGAGGTTTCATATGCTTAATCCTTCTAGCTTATGGTCTTAATCTAGATTCTCTCTCTTTTGGATAGATCTTAAGGCTACATGACCACTACCCCTGGCTTGTAAGTCCTTAGGCGACTCCCCACACGAAAGTGATGGCATTCGCTGGAAAAGATCCACTAAGAGCTCCAATATCTCTTGCTCTAGACAATAGAGGTCTAAGGGGTTGGATGGATTAGTTTGGGCAATGATCCTATAGCCTCCAAGGTTTGATTCTCACTGGCTAACCCCCTGTTTCTGAGATCATTCCTTGGTTGATAGCCTCCACCTTGGGAAAGGGTTGGCTAGGCATTGAGAAGCCCAATATCAAGAGAAGCCTTGATACAAGGAGTTTTAAGAGCTAGATTGATTAAGTGTAGATTCCTTTGATTGCAAAACCCTGTCTTGAACCCTAATTCTCTCTTATCTTGTTAAAGTCGTCACCTTTAGCTTTTTTTCTCAACTCGACCCTAAACTCGATCGAGCTGGTACTCTGTCCACTCGACTCGAGTCTTGGTCGAGCTGACTTCACTGCTTTGTTTACTTTTATTGCACTGCATTTTCATTTTTAGGTTGTTAGTGTTACTTCAAATCTATAACTGCTTGCTTGACTTTCTGGTTGTTTCATATTCTCATAGAGTGACAAGTTTCCCATTTTGGATTGATAACCTCTTATACTTCAATGACTATGATGGTTAAGAGGAATTGATTGATTGTGTTGCATTTCATCTTTATTACCCTGTTGCATTCCACCTCATCTCATTTCATTCATTCATTCACACACAAAATCCTATCATCAATTTGGCGCCGTTGCCGATTTGGGAATATTTTTGTTGCATTTGAGTTTCAAACACACTTGGACGATCAAGCTATACCACCCCTGTTCTATTGTACTGCTGGGTTTTTGTCTCTTTTTGCAGGTGTATGCGAACTCGATCGAGTCGGTCTAACTGAAGACTTGGTCGAGCTAGACTTACAACGGGTAGAAAGAGGGTTCAGAGGTCACAGAGGGTACAAGAGGAACCTGAGGTGCTTGTTGCTGATACAATGGATGTACCAGAGGGGAATGGAAACCCTTTGGGACATGGACTCGGTCGAGCTAGGCAAACTCGACCGATTGGTCAAGGAGATGCTCCAAACCGCCACCAACAGAGACAAGGGATTGTTCCACCACCAGTGCAGAACCACAACTTTGAGATCAAGCTGGGAATGATCAACCTTGTCCAGAACAAGATGTTCCATGGATTGCCAAGTGAAGACCCCATTGACCACCTTGATGAGTTTGATAGGCTTTGTGATTTGACAAAGATCAATGGTGTCTCTGAAGATGCCATCAAGCTGAGACTCTTTCCTATGTCTCTAGCTGACAAAGCTCACCAATGGGAGAAGAGCTTGCCCCATGGCACAATCACCACTTGGGATGAATGCAAGAAGGCCTTTCTTGCTAAGTTTTTCTCCACCGGTCGCACAGCCAAGCTTAGAGGAGAGATATCCAGCTTCATCCAGCGAAACAATGAGACATTCGCAGAGGCTTGGGAGAGGTTCAAAGGCTACACAAGTCAGTGCCCACACCATGGATTCAACAATGAATCACTACTCTCCACTCTTTATAGAGGATGCTTGCCTAGGTATAGGGAGATGCTAGACACAGCTAGCAATGGGAACTTCCTCAACCAGGATGTAGATGATGGCTGGCAACTTGTGGAGAACATAGCTAACTCAAATGGAAGCTATGGAGAAGAGTATGATCGCACCAACCGGAGCTCGACCCACCACTCGATCGAGTCAGACGAAAAGTTGAGAAAAGATGTTAAGGCATTGAATGAGAAGTTGGATAAGCTGATCCTAGCTCAGTCCACAATGAAGAAAGTCAACTTTGTGTCTGCTGAGGAGATGGAACCAGTCCAAGAAGGGGAGGATACACAATTTGCTGAGGTGTGCTACATGAGCAATGGGCAAGGAGGTTACAACAAAGGATACTATAACTACAAGTCCAACCCTGCCATGTCATACCGCAACACTGATGTTGCTAACCCTCAGGACCAAGTATATCCTCAACAACAAGCAGCTCGATCGAGTCAAGGCCACAACATGGGTATGGTCAAAAGAACAATTACCAAGGACCACAAGGCACTTTCCCTGGACAACAAATGAATATCCCACCAGGCTTTCCCCACCAACCGCCCCAGCCTGCACCTTCACAAGAGAATGAGCTCAAAGCAATGCTAAAGCAACTACTTCAAGGGCAAGCTGATGGGGTAGTGGACACAAGCAAGAAGCTAGCTGAAATAAACTCTAAGATCGAGAACCTCAACACAAGGGTTTACTCTCTGGAGAATCATGCTTCTTCTGTTGCTGCTGCTACAAAGCAAGGACAACTACCTGGTAAAGCTATTCAGAACCCCAAGGAACAGTGCAAGGTCATCTTCACTCAAGAAGGACTTGTTGAAGAAGAGGATCAAGAAAGGGTCATTGAAGATTTTTGTTTACTGCTGAATGATGAAGAGATTGTTGCTGCTGAGGCTCCTGGAGTCCAGATTGATCAACCAGAAGTGCATGCACCTACTGTGGCCATTCACACTTCACCAGTTGAGCTCGCACGACAAGCTCGATCGGCAGCTCGATCGAGTCCAACTCTAGCTCGATCGAGTCCGACCTCTTCTGTCCGACAGCCTGTTTTGCTTGATCCTTATCAACCAGTTGCCGCTTCCTCGTCTCGCCTACTTAGTCAAGGTCACAAGGAAGTGATTCACAAGTTCAGAAGAGATCTCAGTGGGATTGGAATTGAGTTGCCTCTATGGATAGCATGAGTGAGGCATTTGATCAAATGCAAATGGTCAAGGATGTTCTAGCCAACAGTGATAAAGTTTCAGAGGTCCTACAAGAGTCTACTCATCAGTTCAACCTGCTTACTTCACCCACCTTCCTACCAAAGGTCAAGGATCAAGGGAAATTCACTCTCCCTTGCACACTTGGGCATCTTGAGATTGACAATGCCTTAGTGGATTCTGGAGCAAGCATCAATCTGATCTCTCTCTCCATGGCAGAGAAGCTAGGCATAGCTGGAGCCTTGCAGCGCCCTACTACTTCAATCATCTTTGGAGATGCAACTACTAAGTCTCCTCTTGGAGTGTTCAAGAACTATCACTTGAAAATTGGAGAATGCATCATCCAAACTGATCTCACTGTGATGGAAATGGAAGAAGAGAAGGATTTGCCTTTTATTGGGAACCCCTTTCCTTAGTACAGTTGGCGCTTCAATTGACTTTCACAAGCAAGAAGTGATCCTTCACAAGGTGAATAGTTTGGTGTCATATCGCTTGCAGCCTAGAGGTTCAGACTTTTGTGCCACAATTGACAGTACCAATCTCAGTTCTAAGAGTCATGGAGCTACAAAGGTTGTGAAGGAAAGGGTTGACAAGGAACCAAGAGTTGGGAAGGATAAGGATGAGAGAGGACCAAGGATTGAGAAGCCACGTCTTGAGAGGGCTAGAGTTGAGAAACCACGATCTGATAGGCCAAGAGCTGAGCGACTTGTTCAAGCCCCTTGTGTGCTTGATGAAGAGAGCCTTCAAGCTTTGTTTGATGAGCCACTAGGAAGGGCTCTACAAGAAGGGGAGGATGCAGCCTCTAAGGCAAGACCAGGAGATAAAAGAAAGGATCCACCAGCTCAGGCCCCTTCAGTCAAGCCATCTCAGCTCACAATGACTTTGTTCCCCACCAAGTTTGAAAATGGGAAGATTGAGTACAAGATAAGGTACAAGGGGAGATCAAGGCCATTCTCTAGAGCCAAGGCCTTGGTGACTTCAGAACAGTCCAGGGACCCAACCAAGCTAAAGGAGCTTCTGTCTCAAGTCCTCACTATCACCCTTGATGGTGGGACTAGCTCAACCAATGCCTAAGAAGGTAAAGGTCAAGCTATGGGACCTTAAACAAGCTCACTTGGGAGGAAGTCCCATGTTTATCCTTGTACATACTCTATTTATGCAATTTCTATCTATCTTTATGTTTTTAACCTTTCAATAAGTTAAGTTTAGGTGTCAAGGAGCCAGCTCGACCCACGAGCTCGATCGAGCTAGAAACCAGGGCAACTCGATCGAGTTCCTCAACTCGACCAAGGTAAGTTTTTGAATTTCAAATTCATAACCGTTTTTTGGTCAAGGGAGTGGGTCCCACAAGCTGATTTTGGTCCCCCACTACCCTAATTGATCAGAGAATCCCTAGTTTCTTGTTCCCTCTTTATCATCTTTTAATCTCAACCACACATCTCAAACAACTCTCTTCCCCATAACTCGATCGAACCCACTTCCTCTCTCCCACACATCTTAAATTTCTGAAACTCATCCATCTCTCTCTTCACCACAAGAAATCGATTTCTCTCTTTCTCTCTTAAGTTTTTGCGATTTCTTGTTTCTTCTTGTTTTGCTTGGGTTTCTGTTTACTGCTCTTCAATTCCATCATTCAACAAGGTATGAACCCTAAAACCCTTCACTCCTCCATCTCGATTCCTATTGCTTGTTTCTCTTGATTTTTGATTGCATGTGTCCCTTGTGGACTTGTTATTGAGAATTGCTTTCATATTTCGCCTCTGCCTTATAACTTGTTAGTTTTGCTTCACCTCACCTCTGTTTTGCCTTTAAACTTGTTGCATGTGCTTGAAAGGTTGAATTTGAGTTTGGTAATGGTTAGGTTGCTATGTTTTTCACTAGAATTGCTTATTGTTCCATTTACTAGTTGTTCTTGGTTCAATTTGATTGATTAGCATCCTTTCCAGCTCTTAATACATGAATTAGGTTTGGTTATACTCTGTTTTCACCAACTCGATCGAGTTTGTCACTCGAGTTTTTTGACTCGATCGAGCTGAGTGTCGAGTTGACCAAACCGATCATTACAACTCTAATTCTTTGAATTTTGATGCATTTCAGGACCAATCTAAGATGTTGAGAGGTGAAGGAAGCAAGCAGCGTTCACAAGGATGGAGATGATAAGAGGAGCAAGGAGGATACTCAAAACACAAACCAAGGAGGACATAGAAGAGGTTGAGAGGGTGAGGGAAGGAAAGGAGAACCAAAAGAAGGAATGATCCTCTCAGCAGTGAGAGCGAAGCAAGGAGAGTTTGAAATTGGAGTGAACATCCCACATGAGGAGAATGATGACTCCCAAGTGAAGAAGAGGGTGAAGAGATCAATCAAGAGATTGAGGAGAGTGAGCATGAGGGCAATGAGAATGTGCCCATGGAAGAGGAGGAGTCAAGGAAGAAGAGGATGAGCTCCCCATGTACCAAGAGCACTATGATGCTCTCTTCTCCATGGACTTCATGGAGACCAAGTACCCACATGTTGACACATGAAGGCCCTTGGAATCTTTGAAGATGTGGAGTTGGTCCTCAAGAACATGCACTTGGCCAAGCTCTTCTCTACCACATGGAATCCTACAAGGAGCTCACTTGCGAGTTCCTAGCTTCAATGAGGTACCACATGTATGAGGAGAAGATAGAGCTGATTTGGACCAAGGATTGGGATGGATCACGTTCTTGGCTAAGGGAGAGAAGAGAATGGTGACCTTTAGGCAGCTGGAGATCTTGTTTGGGTTCAACTATGGAGAGGGAACCAAGTGGAACTTCAAGGAAAAGGAACTCCAAAGGGTTTGGGCTACAATCGCTGATGGAGTGTACTCTTCCTCAAGGTCCAAGGCAGCTCAGATCAGGAGCCCAGTCTTGAGATATGTGCACAAGGCACTTGCCAACACCTTCTTTGCAAGGAAGGCAACCGGGACAATCAACGAGGGGGAACTCAAGTTTCTTGACATGGGAATCAAGCCCTTCTCTCACGCACAAGCGATGGCAAGAGGATCAGGGGAGATAGGTCTGACACAGGGAACTTGATGCCTTTCCTTGACCAGCTCCTCACCTACAAGATCACAGCTTACAACACTAGGCACCAAAGAGGAAGAAAGCTTAGTGTTGGAGGGCTCATCACACCTATCTTGTGTGCTGCTGGAGCCAACGAGATAAGAGCTACTGAACCAGGTTGGATGGACATCAAGTTTTGCAAGACCAACCTCCTCATTGAGCACAAGGAGTTGGATGGGAGGTTCCAATTCAAGTTCACACATCCATTGGTTGGACCCTCCAAGTTTCTCCTGCCTAACCCAGAGCTCACCACAGTTGTAAGGGGTGAGAACATTGATTTCAGACCCCCTGTGTACACATTAGTTGGGCATGAGGATGATTGCGAGAAGAGGAGCCTGAGCGATCGAGCTGAGCGATCTGAGTCTCGAGCTGAGGGTCGAGCTGAGGATCGAGCTGAATATCAGGTCCAGGGGAGCGCTGACTTGGGTGAGCCTGAGTGCTACTACTTTGAGGAGTATGAGGCTCCAAGGATGAACCCCTCTGTTGTGGCTGCCCACAAGAGGATTGGACTTCTCCAAAAGTTCAACAAATGGCAAGGGAAAGCCATTGAGAAGATGCAAAAGTCCATGGACAAGATGGTGAGCAAGATCAAAAGTTTGGAGAAGAAGGTTTCTGGTTCTTCAAGCAAGAAGAAGTCCAAGGCCCCCACATTCCCTAGGAGTAGGTCACTCCTCACCACCCAAAGGAGGCTCCCTGCCCAAGAGCCTCACAGAGCCTCTTCTTTCGAGCCAAGAGAAGGAGAGGACAACACGCAGAGAAGGAGGAAGAGTTCTAAGGCCAGACGCTCCAGCTCGACCACCGGACTCGATCGAGTCCAAACAGAGGAAACTCAACTCGATCGAGCTGACGGTCGAGTTGTCTGAGGAGCCCCTAGTTTGAGAACCCTGGGATTCGAGTACGATTCAACCCAGTACCAGGACTTCTCTCAGACCGCTGGACTCCCTACAACCGCTTCGAGCGAGCACAACTCCACCAAGGCCAAGGAAGCCACACCCACTTTGAAGATGAAGAAGAAGAGGAGGAGGAGCCACAAGCTCGATCGAGTGAGCCGAACCCAGTTGAGTGGAGCGCTCCTGATGGCCGTCTACCATCTCCAGACCACGACCTAGCCTCCCAGTTCTTTGGGGGCACTGAGGTATCCAAACACCATCCCTTGTATATACCATTTCATATTTTCTTTCTTTGTTCTTGTTTTTTCTTGGTTTTGCCCTCTTGAATCTTTCACTGAATTTTTCTCACACAAGGGACTGTGTGATTTAAGTTTGGGGGAGGGTTCAAGAGATGATTTAACCTTGTTTTCTTTGTTCTTAGTTTTTCATTTATCTTTTGCATAGAAAAACCAAAAAAATCATAAAATTTTCAAAAAATCCAAAAATATTTTCATCTTTTTGCATTCATATTTGTAGACTTGTTTAGGATTGCATTTTTCACTTGCATTGTTGATTTGACTTTGAAAACTTGTCCATCTTTTGCGATTTCTTGAGTGCCCTGTTTTTAGATTCTTTTGTGCATTAGGGTGAGATTGATTGAGCAACAAGAACCATGTTTATCTTGATCATATCGCTGCATGCACATCTCATTCAACCATTGCTGTGATTTGATGCATTTCCCTA